TTTTGAATTAGCTCAATTAAAAAAGAGGGATGACATTGTCATCCTCTCAGCCGACAAAGGCAATGCCACTGTCATCATGGACAAAATAGAATACAACAACAAAATTCAAGAACTACTCAACGATGGCAGCTATACAAAAATAAAAAGAGACCCCACCAACAGCCTCGTCTCCAAAACCAACAACATCATTTCTGCTTCAACCGCATTAATTGATCAGACCAAACAGTTCTCGTTGAAACCTTCTGCAGCCAGACCACCAAGATTGTACGGCTTGCCAAAGATACATAAAGAAGATACACCTCTTCGTCCCATTGTCTCTACTATCAACTCCCCCACTTACAAACTGGCTCGTTTTTTGTCCGAAATCCTACGGCCTTTCACTGGAAAAACCACCTCTGCAGTACTAAACTCTACTGACCTGGTATCGACAATCAAGGGGATTGCCCTGTCCCCAGACGACCTGCTTGTCAGTTTTGATGTGGTTTCCTTGTTCACCAAGGTACCTGTGCCTGACACCATCGCAATCATTGAAGACTTGGTTCATCAAGGACTGAATGCTGGGGTACCCCCCCTGGTGAGACACTGCTTAACCAATACATACTTCACCTGGAATGGAACCTTCTACAAGCAAATTGAGGGCACCCCAATGGGCTCCCCCCTATCTCCGGTTGTAGCCAACATCTTCATGGAGAAATTTGAGACGGACGCCATCCAGACTGCCACTCTACGCCCGACCTTATGGAAGAGGTACGTAGACGACACTTTTGTCATCTGGCCACATGGCCGGCCTGCTCTAGACCAATTTCTCGACCACATCAATTCCATACACCCAGCCATCAGATTCACCATGGAAGTCGAAAATGATGGCAAGCTACCCTTTTTGGATGTCCTAATCAAAAGGAGACCTGATGGTTCAATGAGCCACTCTGTCTACAGGAAAGCCACCCACACGGATGCTTATCTAAAACCGGATTCCCACCACCATCCATCCCAGAAGAATTCCCTCATCAAGACTCTATATCATAGAGCCCAATGCATCTCCGACCATGAACACATTTCCAGTGAACTCAAACACGTACGCCAAGCTCTTAAGGCTAATGGTTACTCCGACTACACAATCCGCAAAGCCATCACTCCAACCATCAAGAAGGATCCTGTTGAGGAGCCTTTCAAGACCATCACCTTACCCTACATTGCTGGGGTCACAAAAAAGATCTCCAAAATCCTGATTAAACACAAGATCCAGGTCCGATTCAACACAGTACATAAAATCCGTGATCTGGTACCGTCTGTAAAAGATGTGGTTCCAGACATACAGTACCCTGGCGTCTACAAACTAAGTTGCCTCTGTGGTAGCAGTTACATTGGGGAAACCAAACGACATGTCTCGGACCGCATCCGTGAACATAAAGCTGACCTGAAACACGGTAGGACTAACACCTCAGCCGTGGCAGATCACTGTTACAACTCAGTGGGCTCACATGATATTGACTTCTCCAAGACAGAGGTTCTCTGCAAGCCATCTGGCTATCATGAGAGATTCGTTCATGAGGCGATCCACATATACAAACACAGAGACAACTTTAACCGAGAAGATGGATTCTGGCTCAGCAATCATTGGAAGGACGTAATAAACCATTTCGATACACATTAGGGTGTGTAGAATAATACATAGTGTGATATTAAATGTATAAGATATAGGTTGGTTTACAGCAATACAGTATATAATTTAATGTTGGGTTTATCTATGGCAGTATATAGTACGGTATATGCTCGTGTGATGTAAGAGAATAAGGTTTAGATGGAAGCATATTATAGAATTTTTACGAGGTAAAATTGTAATGTATTACTTGCTGTTAGTAACTCAGCTTATTATAGAGTATAGTAAGTATACTGATGGTGCGATGCAGTTTATACTTTAGTTTTTTATGTAGTTTATACTTTAGTTTTCTACGTGGTTGTTGAGTAACTGCAGCTACATATCATTAACATTCCTTTCCTTTGTTACTGCTAATCCCTGCACCCCCCTTGGTTGCTGCTGATCCTGCATAATGCATGGGCATAATATGACTTTGACACCCCCCCGCCCAACGCCTACGCATTTTCCATGAATATGCTAAATCCCTCTTCACATGCACATTCTTTTTGTTAAGGCGCTCTTCAACCCCCAATGCAGCTTATATATAAGCTCCTAGTTTGGTAGTGTCTCATTCTTCACCTGAAGACGGCTGCTTGCGTTGTAGCCGAAACGTCGTGAGAATTGTTTTATTATGTTTTATTTTTATTATTTTATTACTTCCCTTCTACGTGACTTTACCGAAAGAAACAAGAAGATTATCATAAATCCCTTTTGTATTTAAACAAAGCTCGCATGGAGAATGGAAGGGTCATGTCATAGGCCATGGCATTACAATGCTACAGTTATACCATCAGGGTGTTAAGGGGTAGTGAGAACGTCGGAACAGATTCTTCGAGTCGGAGTGACTACGACGATCCATCAGCTTAAGGGAAAATCACTGCTCAGCGCCGTAAAGAGTCAATGGAGCATCGACTTCTCAAAGGGGAGGGGAGGGGGCAATGTGACGAAGGCTTTGCGCGGGCTGTTTCCCATCGCTAAATGGATATAGAGGGTGAACACCATACAGCATGGGCCAGGATATGGAGGTTCAAACTGGCTAAGAGAGATAGGTGGTATGACAAGTTTTGGGACCAGTCTAGGTGGGGCTGATGGGGGTTGGGTGCCCCTGAGTCGTATACAAGGCTGTGCTCAGAGCAAAGCAGGGATGAGTCATACCTCTGAGCACCTCAGCAACCCATACAGCACTGGATGAAAGTGGGCTTCAAGCCAGGAGCAGCGGGACCGAACTCTGGGCAAGGGAGACTTCCTAAGCCCACCCAGGGCGGGTCTGGGCAGGAATGAGACTGGAACGAGGTAAGGTTGCGAAGCAAGAAGAGAGAAGCATGGCCGATAGCGGGGCCAGTGCACCGTGCCACTGCTGATTGTGTACCCCTGTGACTCTCGGGAAGGAGTTGGCCTCTGTTGCGTCTACCAGGGTGTCCTCATGTGGAGAATGCGTGTGGGCTGGGATCGACTGTTGTGTTCAGCATGCACAGTAGTGGCTAATGTAAGACTCGCATTGATGGCTGCATGGTGATAAATGCAGTGGCCAGGGAGAGTTGCACAATTTCAGCGTAGTGTGTGTATGACGGGTTCGTACTGGCGCGGGAACATGTCCTTGAACTGGTAAGGAGAAATTGTATTGATAAGAACCATGTTTATTTAAAAGCCTCTATATGTGTCCGGTTGATATTAATACACATGAGACCTCCGCCAATCGTATGGCACTCCACGTCCACCACACAATCACCCCATTACAGGGGAAGAATGCCCTGGCTCACATAAAAAAAAATATTACAATTCAGAGCGGGGCGGGGAGTGAAGTTTGGGGAAGAGTAGAATCCCCCCCACCCCCCATTCTCCTGGCTGCCCCATGACAATTTTAAATGTAGTATAGTGGTGTAGTGTATAGGAGTATAGTATATAGTAATGTATAGGGTAGTATATAGTGTACTGTATAGAGTGTAGTGCATAGTAGTATGTACAGTGAGGGAAAAAAGTATTTGATCCCCTGCTGATTTTGTACGTTTGCCCACTGGCAAAGAAATGATCAGTCTATAATTTAAATGGTAGGTTTATTTGAACAGTGAGAGACAGAATAACAACAAAATCCAGAAAAACGCATGTCAATTTTTTTATAAATTGATTTGCATTTTAATGAGGGAAATAAGTATTTGACCCCTCTGCAAAACATGACTTAGTACTTGGTCGCAAAACCCTTGTTGGCAATCACAGAGGTAAGACGTTTCTTGTAGTTGGCCACCAGGTTTGCACACATCTCAGGAGGGATTTTGTCCCACTCCTCTTTGCAGATCTTCTCCAAGTCATTAAGGTTTTGAGGCTGACGTTTGGCAACTTGAACCTTCAGCTCCCTCCACAGATTTTCTATGGGATTAAGGTCTGGAAACTGGCTAGGCCACTCCAGGACCTTAATGTGCTTCTTCTTGAGCCACTCCTTTGTTGCCTTGGCCGTGTGTTTTGGGTCATTGTCATGCTGGAATACCCATCCACGACCTATTTTCAATGCCCTGGCTGAGGGAAGGAGGTTCTCACCCAAGATTTGACGGTACATGGCCCCGTCCATCGTCCCTTTGATGCGGTGAAGTTGTCCTGTCCCCTTAGCAGAAAAACACCCCCAAAGCATAATGTTTCCACCTGCATGTTTGACGGTGGGGATGGTGTTCTTGGGGTCATAGGCAGCATTCCTCCTCCTCCAAACACGGAGAGTTGAGTTGATGCCAAAGAGCTCCATTTTGGTCTCATCTGACCACAACACTGAATCATTCAGATGTTCTCTCCTCTATGGGGACCTCATTTGCCAGTAAAAATATGATAATTGGTTCTTTACCCTTCTATCTGGCAACAAAACTGACACCTTTTTGCAAGGAGTCATGTTTGCATAGACCGCAATACCTGCAGTCATAATACAAACAAAAGAACATAACTCTGATAATGTGCACTGTCCCTGAAGTTGATTGGTCCACACCCGAGACAGCTTTCCTTCGAGCCTAGTCTCATATGGGTTGGACCAGATGACGCCAAAAGGCGCACAACTCAAGGACAATGCACCATCAGAGTATGAGAGCTCGGGGCAAGCATCTACACTATGGGGACCTCATTTGCCAGTAAAAATATGGCAAATGAGGTCCCCATAGTGTAGATGCTTGCCCCGAGCTCTCATACTCTGATGGTGCATTGTCCTTGAGTTGTGCGCCTTTTGGCGTCATCTGGTCCAACCCATATGAGACTAGGCTCGAAGGAAAACTGTCTCGGGTGTGGACCAATCAACTTCAGGGACAGTGCACATTATCAGAGTTATGTTCTTTTGTTTGTATTATGACTGCAGGTATTGCGGTCTATGCAAACATGACTCCTTGCAAAAAGGTGTCAGTTTTGTTGCCAGATAGAAGGGTAAAGAACCAATTATCATTCAGATGTTCATTGGCAAACTTCAGACGGGCATGTATATGTGCTTTATTGAGCAGGGGGACCTTGCGGGCACTGCAGGATTTCAGTCCTTCACGGCATAGTGTGTTACCAACTGTTTTCTTGGTGACTATGGTCCCAGCTGCCTTGAGATCATTGACAAGATCCTCCCGTGTAGTTCTGGGCTGATTCCTCACCGTTCTCATGATCATTGCAACTCCACGAGGTGAGATCTTGCATGGAACCCTAGGCCGAGGGAGCTTGACAGTTCTTTTGTGTTTCTTCCATTTGCAAATAATCACACCAACTGTTGTCACCTTCTCACCAAGCTGCTTGGCGATGATCTTGTAGCCCAATCCAGCCTTGTGTAGGTCTACAATATTGTCCCTGACATCCTTGGAGAGCTCTTTGGTCTTGGCCATAGTGGAGAGTTTGTAATCAGATTGATTGATTGCTTCTGTGAACAGGTGTCTTTTATACAGGTAACAAGCTGAGATTAGGAGCACTCCCTTTAAGAGTGTGCTCCTAATCTCGGCTCGTTACCTGTATAAAAGACATCTGGGAGCCAGAAATCTTTCTCATTGAGAGGGGGTCAAATACTTATTTCCCTCATTAAAATGCCAATCAATTTATAACATTTTTGACATGCGTTTTTCTGGATTTTGTTGTTGTTATTCTGTCTCTCACTGTTCACATAAACCTACCATTAAAATTATAGACTGATCATTTCTTTGTCAGTGGGCAAATGTGCAAAATCAGCAGGGGATCAACTACTTTTTTCCCTCACTGTATGTACATTGAACTTATTTCACACCGTACGTAGCCAACCATACCAATCCGAGGAACCTGCACACAACAACAAAACACAGCAACAAACCCGAGCGGCTCTTAAAAAAAAGAATTGGGCATCATCAAGTTGAAACGAGGTTATCCTGGCTGCTGCTTCTGCTGCTGCTGCTCCTGTTGCTGCTTCTGCTGCGGCAGCGGAGCGTGGTGACCGCTCACGTGCGCGTAGAGGTCCGACGAGCGTACGAAGCTGGTCCCGCACACGGGGCATGCAAGGACGCGCCCTCCCTGGTGCAGCACCAGGTGGTAGCGGAGTCCCGAAGGCCACGCGAAGGCCTTGCCGCACACGTGACAGGCGAGTGGCTTCTCACCCGTGTGGACCCTCGTGTGACTCCTGAGCTTCGAGGCATGCCGGTAGCACTTGCCACACACCGGGCATCGGTGTTGCGGCCCCTCGCTACCGGTACGCCTCCCGGTGCGGTGCCTACGGGCGGATGAGACTGCGTGAGAGAACAGCGGAAAGGACGATTACATTTGTACTGTGTGTGTGTGTGTACCACAAAAAACACGTATTAAAAGTCTAACTAAACTTGTGCCGGAGGCCCCGGAGGGACAGGCGACTATGACGTATCCTGGACAAACCCCATTTGGCGGAGCCAGGAGACTGATTCTGCACCCTCGGGGTTCCTCCACAAATAGCAAAATGCCACTGCGAGTGGCCACGTACAATGTTCGAACGCTCACTGTGGAGGAGGTCCTGTGGACTGGCTCTGGCTTCAGTAACCATGAGGGGTGGACAGTCATCTACTTGGGGCATGGCTCTTCTTCTGAACAAAATAATGAAGGAGCGTGGGAGTGTGGGAGCGTGGCAGTGAGATGTAGGAAGCTGTAAGCCCCTGGCTACTGTGGGATCGTCTTCCCATCAACCAGAGGCGAAGAGTGGTGGTGGTGGTGGTTACGTATACCCCCACCGAAGATGTATATCATTGGAGGGATGCAGGCAAGCGCGATGCGTCAGATGCCTTCTATGACCTCCTGTCACAGGTGCTAGCTAAAGTGGACCTCGGGATAGAGTCATCCTCTGTTGGGCGACTTTAATGCCCGAGTTGGTCATAATGCTGCCACTGATCAGCTCAATAACAACAGTAGGAGGCTGCTAGACTTCTGTGCAGCCCATGGGCTTGTAATTACCAACACGCTGTTCTGGCATTGGCACATCCACACAACACCATGGATGCACGCTGGATGGAGGAGGCTCATGAAGGACACTACTGGGCAGTTGGAGGCAGTCGCGCTCCAGCAACAATGGAGGGCAGAGGAGTGACGCTCACAACAACGAGCGGAGCGCCGGGCAGCTGAACAGATCAAGTTGGCACAGTAGAGGGCACAGGTGGTGCATCGGCCAGTCATCTCAGTCAGTCGACCCATGGCACCTGGGTCTGTCCCGTGACCTGCCAGTGGGCGTTCGACACTTCACGTGGCCTTAAATTGCATATGACCTGGCACACGCACCGTGGTGATGTCACTGCCACCTAGTGGCAAATGGCTTTTGTTGTTGTGTGTGTACTGTGTATCATTTGTGTGTGTGTATTGTGTGTGTATCGTGTGTGTGTGTACTGTGTGTGTGTGGGGAGTGGTAGTGTAGCGGTTAGCATTGCGCTACGGAACCCGGCGACCCGAGTTTGATTCTCGCTCACGGTGATTAACACTGGTGATGATGATCTGAACCACTCCAGGGCCTCCGCTAGGTCGACTCAGCCTCAAATAAGCACCTAGTGCGATGTGTAAATATGGCCACTGGGGAAACAAAGGCGGCCGGGAGTGGTGCGCATCAACCACCCCCTTGTGTGCCAGTGCCAGCCCTGATAGGTACAGCAATTGCCCGAACAGTCTGTTTAGGCTACACAGAGATCTTTGTCTTCGTGTGTGTGTACTTTGAGTGTGCTGTGTGTGTAATGTGTGTGTGTGTTGAACTTCTTCGCACCGTATGTAGCCAACCGTGCTAAATCGGAGGTGCGGGGGAAGGACAACAAACTAAACACAACAACATCAACAACAAGCAGGTCTGAAGAAATTCGTTTTCAATGTCGTATAGTGGTGTGGAAGTGTAGCGTAAAGTAGTGCAGTAGTGTATAGGGTAGTAGTGTAGTGTATAGTATAATGTACTGTTTAGTGGTGTAGTTTTGTAGTAGTGCATAGGGTAGCAGTGTGGTGTGTAGTATAATGTACTGTATAATGTACTGTATAGCAGTGTAGTGACATCGGGGATGCCACTGTATGGTGCCGGCCCGAGAGGGCCACGGCACGCGATGCACCGTCATCGCGTACACCCCGGAGGCGGGTGTAGTACCAGCCATAGCGGGGATTTACGTGCGCTGGGATAGCGTGGCCACTACGCATAGTGTGTAGTGCGGGCTCCCACAGGCGGGAGTAGGAGAGTGTCAGCCCAGGGGCAGGGTTGCCCCGGGCCATGGCACTCTGGTTGACCGCAGACACGTGATCTGGAGTGTCCACAGAGAGGGCCCCAGGTGGAGGGGCTCGGGGGTGATCACGTGTCCGGGGAGAGCTCTCGAGAGGGAGCTAGAAGGCTCCAGTAGGTGGGCAGGGCCGAGGGCAGAGCAGCCCCGACCCGTGGGGGGATATAAGGTGGGTCCCTAAGAAGGACCGGGATCACTGCATCCTACAAACTGAAGCTCCACATCCACAAGCTGAAGCTCTACGTCCTGCAAGACATCAACACGTGGTCGAGGACCCGAGTGAGAGGGCCCGACCCTTCGTAGCTGTAACCCCTGGTATAGTGTAGTTAGCGGGGTGGTCACCACCCTAGGCTGTATCTGGTGAAGGGGCAGTTACTCCTTTGAGTTAGGTCTTGATATTATAATTAAAGTGTTGCCTCCAAAGAACAATGTCTGCGACTCAGTTAGACTCACTTCAACTGGTGTCAGAAGTGGCCAACACGCTAGTTTATATAGCTAGCTGTAGACTATGTCTACACGTCGTAGACCACGTACCTGGACGTCGGTGGACAAGGACCTCGTGCCACCTGCAGCTTTGGAGGATGCACGGGAGACACTTCCAGCGGAGCAAAGCGCCTTTTGCGTGCTCGACGCGTCGCCGTCGGCGCACGATCGCCTCGCGGAGCTCCTCCATGCTGCGACTTCGCTCCTCACGAAGTTCTGTCCCAGGGTCTCGCCGGTGAAGGAGGGAGCGGCGAGGCAACTCGGGGACGACGACTCCGCCGCCATTTCGCAGCAAACGGGAAACTCGGTGGCGCAGCCCGCGCATTCGACTGCCATTTTGTCGCCGGCACGGAGCACGCAGCCCGCCAAAATTAAAGATGCGCCATCGGCGCCGATGTACAACCCAGCTCTCCAGCGTCGACCTCACCTTGCTGGAGAGTTCGCGGCTACCAGTGACGACTGGGTGACCTTCAAGCGGCAGTTTCTCACGAACGCCGGCTTGGCGGGGTGGACAGAGATGGAGGCGCTGCGGGCGCTACCTGCCGCCCTCGATGACGACGCCCTTGCGCTATTTCTCGCCATCCCGCCGCCGGAGAGGTCGACCCTCACACAGGCTTTCAACCGGTTGGCACCTATCTACAAGCCTCCGGTGAACGCGTGCCACAAATTCGCCACACGACAGAAAGGGGAGGACGAGTCGGCCCTCGCCTTCCGTAGCGCACTTTTGGCGCTGGCGAAGGCCGCCTTCCCGGAGATGGACCACGATGGCATCGACGTGTTGGTCCTCGAGAGATTGCTTTGGCGGAAACCCTTGGCGGAAACCCTCCACATCATTCTTCCAGCCGAAGATGAAGACATCTCGTCTCTCCAGGCCGCCAAGTACATCCGAGCCCAGCTACTTCTATAACGGGACAGGGCGCAGGTCACGTGTGCCGTGTCCCGCACGGGGCCGGGGCCACCTGATGGAATGGAGCCCCTTTTGGCGTGTGCATCGACTCGAGGTGGAGACGACCAGCGCGGCAACGGCGCATGGAGGTCAGACGAGCGGCGGCGGCCGAGGTCGTCGTCTCGTTCCGGTGGTGGCCGTGTTGTCTGCTACAATTGCGGCCTGCCGGGGCACGTGTCATTGGGTTGCCACGTACCACGACGGCGCCTTCCAACATCACCGCCATCCTGCGCTTCTCTACACCCTGAGGGGCGTCACGACACATTCCACACTCGACCCCTGGCCTCACCTCACCCATCTAGGCATTTTGGTTCGCAGCTCGATCGCGCGTCGGTACGGGGTAGTCCTACGCTAAATCGTGAAGTTCGTCAGCTCCAACCGGATCAGTGGTCGGAGCTGGCCCATCGAGTGGTGAATGCGTCCGCGGGTTTATCCACCGTGCTTGGGTCCATTGAGGGTGTAGAAATAAGGATGCTAGTCGACACGGGTGCGTCGGCAACTATCATTTCAGAACTAATTTCCAATATTTTGCCCCCAAAGTATGCGCCATGTTTCACCGTTGACGGCGGCTCATTGGGCATCATCGGTCGGATAACGGCCGAGGTGCGCATAGCTGACGTTAAATTATCGGGACACATTCTTGTCTCCACATCACTGACTGTTCCTTGTTTACTTGGAACTGATTTCCTTGGTAGGATGCCATTGGAAATCTGCATTGACTGCGGCTGTTTGGAATTGCCATCCGGACGTCATGTGGCATTTTTGCCTTCCCCTACCCGGTTGTGTGCGGCCAACGCTTCAGTGCAATGTTTGTTCCCCTCCACGTGAGGAAGCCGCTCATTTTTGGGTGCTACGGGGAATGCTATTGTAGCTCATACGTTGGTGTCCGACGACCAGGAACATTTTAGTCAGGTTCTTAATTCTTGGTTGGACACCACGGTCACCCAGGAGAGTGCGGTGTTGGCTCATGCGTCACCGAAGGGGGCATCGTCGGGAATGTGGGTGCTGCGACGATCCCGGGATATAGGTCATCTCTTTCGCCTGGATCCGGTGATTGCGCCGCGCAAATTTGTTTTATCTCCACATCGCTGGGGCCGAGTGTTGAGTGTGTCCGGCGACCCGGGGTGTGTGCCCGCGCCAGTTGATCCCAGGCGAAGCGATTCTGTTCCGCTCCCAGGTGCTGCGCGACTGACGTCCCTTGCGTGATCGCACCTGCCGGCTTTGCGGGCTTTGAGTGCGGTGGATCCATCAACCCGACCTACTGTTCTCCGTGACAAGCCGGGTTCGGTGGAACATTTGCACATTCCCCCCGGGACCTCCAGCGTGAGCGAGCCCACCTCCCCTGGGGGCCCGGCACCATGCACTCGCTCAAAGACTCGTTTTTCGTGACTCCCTTGCACACATGCTCCCATGCTGTTAGTTGCTTGTCACGCTCGCTGTGTCGTGGCGGTCATTGACTGATCCTGGCCGCCATTGAACTCACGAGCGCCGTTACACGTTGAAGGTGGAAGGTGTGATGGTAAGAGGGATCCCGAGGGTTTACATGGTTTTTCATATTGCTTGTTCATGTGGTGTTGTTGTCATTACAGGTTCGTTGGTTTACACCCTTCTCCCTGTTGGTTTGTACATTTGTAGATAGAGTAATTTTTGTACAGGTGGGTTGGGGTATTTATTTCTGTTCTGTTATTTTTGAGGCACACTATGTTTCTTGCGTTTCTATAAACTGTTCGTTTAAAAGGGGGAGTTGACAGCCGGGACAGCTGAATGCTACGAAGGTGGGGGTGATGTAGTGACATCACGGATGTCACTGTATGGTGCTGGTGTAGTGTATAGTAGTGTGTAGTGTATAGTGTAATATGTAGTAGTGTAGTGTATAGGGTAGTAGTGTAGTGTATAGTAGTGTCGTGTGTAATAGTGTATAGGGTAGTAGTGTAGTGTATAGTATAATGTACTGTATAGTGTAATATATAGTAGTGTAGCGGTGTATAGGGTAGTAGTGTAGTATAGTATATAGTACTGTAGTGTGTAGGAGTGTATAGTATAATGTACTGTATAGTGTACTGTATAGTAGTGTAGTGTGTAGACATGTCGTGTACAGTGTAGTGCACGTACTAAACTTCTTTCAGAACCGTAATTAGCCAGCCACGTTAATCAGAGGTACGCGGGCAGATTGGGAGGGAGTGAAAGGGGGAGGAGGGGTGGGGGGGATATCAAACGATGAACGGGGCACGACGCCCGTGGCTGTGAATGATGCGTAGGGTCTCCACATGTAACCCCCCGCTCCCGGCTCCTCACCGTCACCGTCGTTGTCTTCCAAGATCACTTCGATCTCCGCTGAACCCGACGACGATGCCGCGACAGCTGCGGCGTCTCCCGTCTGCGGCGCTCGGAGCCTGGCGGCGGAACCGCGGTCGGCCGCGGGGTTCCAGAGGACTCCTCCGGGGGAACGAAGGCCTGCCTCGACGACGTGAAGGTCCCTCTGCCTGGGACGGTATTCACCGTCCACGAGCTTAAGTCGTTCTTTTGCGCTGCCGAAAACCTCCGCCTTCTCCTCTTTCATACGAATGTCGGCTCCTGAGACAGAGGCATTTCCGCTTTGAGCGCTACGCATCGCCACGTGAACTCCGCTCATCCTCACAGCAGCAACAGTGCCGGCTTTTAGCCGCATCATCACGCCGCACTTTCAGATGTATAGGTATGACACTATACACTAGACTACTATAGACTACTATACACTACACTATTCCACACTAAACTACTATACACTACACGCGACTATACACTAGACTGCTATACACTACACTACCATACACTACACTACCATATACTAGACTACTATATACTACACTAATATAGACTACACTACTATGCACTACACATTGGGCTCTATGGAGGCCCGTCGTTAAGCGATAAGTTGTTAGCAGGGGTGGACGTTAAGAGAGGTTATACTGCATAATGTACCGTATATAATATTTGACACTGAAATCAAGCGTAGCTACTTTGTCAGACGCACGTGGTGCCAATCGCCAGACTGGGTTAAAGCCTTTGAAACGGTTTTGCCGGATTGGGCCGGGACCAGCCGGATAATGTTGGAAGCAGCCAGATGTAATCGCGTGGCGGATAATCGATGATCGACTGTCGCCTCAGGATGTCTCCAGACTCCACCATGCCAGTCAGTGGTGAGATGACGCTTACTGTGACGGGAGTCGCTGCCCTCCAATTTCACCTCCAGCAATGCCCCACTAACAGGCCCTCCTGAGTCTCCTCCTCTTCGCTTGAGTCGCAAAGACGGGGCCACCACGGCTCCTGTCTCAAGGGAGGGCAGCACGGCAGTGGCAGGTTCAGGATAACGCCGCTCACGCCGTCGTCTGTGGCGGGGAGTTTGCACAATGAGGGAGGTTACGCAGCTGGGTGCATCGTGTTGTATGTGTCGGATTATGAAATTTTGATAAAAATAATAAAAATTAATAAGTTTCCGAAAAATGCGCAAATCGCATTAATTATGATAGTGTGTATTTAATATGCATAAATTATGATAATGTGTGTAATTATATGCATAAATTATGATAATCACGGAGCTAATCGTAGTAATTTATGCGGATGCTTGCGATTATGTTACTGTGTGCAGTTATGATAATTAGGCTTAGTTTCGTTTATCCAGAGTTATATCAATCAGGATAACACGATTATCATCGATTAAACATTTACTGATTATCTTAGTGTGTTTGTTATTTTAGGTCTCCAGTTTCAGATCTCATCACAGGATACAGTTATCAAGAATAAGATAGTTTTGCATGGACTTGGAAAGAAGCACTCGAACAGTTGGTGTTAAGCAATTTTAATTCTAAACAAGCACATGACACTCTCTTATGCGAAAGCAGGTATACGTCAATAAATTCATGTAACTCGATTAAGCAATTAACGAAAATGAATGACTAAAAATACTTCTTCATTGGCGAAATTATGCAGTTAACGAAAATAAATGACTAAACATTTCTTATTCATGTAACTCGACGGCAGCAACTGCTTTGCACGATCAGTTGATATTGAACGCACCACCTCGAAATGGCAACCCTTTTTGAAACGCAAAGATCACTTTTTGAAAGTCTTATTCGTGTGCGTGCTGTGTGTGCGTTGTCCCCTCGTAATATTAATTGTGTCGTTAGCTTGTGTGGTGTAGGAGGATACAAACAGCGGCCAGGTATTCCTCTCGATTGGGCGTGGCCGCCGCAAGCTCCTGCTGCTCCCTCGCTCGGACGCGTCTCTGCTTGTGCGCTCTCTTTTTCTCCACTGCTGGATGACGAGTTGGCACGACGCTCGGTGACGCCCGGTGACGTCCGAGTCGTGCTGCTCTTGCGCTCTCTCTCCCTCTGCTGGATGACGAGTTGGCACGACGCTCGGTGACGCCCGGTGACGTCCGAGTCGTGCTGCTCTTGCGCTCTCTCTCTCTCCACAGCCGTTTGACCAGGCTTTCTCCACTGCTTCGCGCTCTCTGCTTTGCACGCTTGGTCGACGCTTGGCGATCTCCGCCCTTTTACAGGTTGATTGCTTGTCGTCACTCGTCACTCTCGCTCTGCTCCGTGCTTCCCTTGTTCGTGCAGCTGCCAGCTTCACTCGCACTTAACTTCGTTCTGCGAGAAGCGACACCGGCTATCGGCATCGGTGTTTCGTTTCTTCACGACGCTCCGCCAGCCGGAGCACGGCTGAAACCCAGCCCCGAACTCAGACTTCTGCGACTCGAACGACTCCTCCTCGTTCCATCACTTCTCGAGGCACAACCGCCCCAGCTCTCTTGCGAGCCCCCGTCGCAACGCTGCGTCGCAAGCCGAGTTGCGAGACTGAGCGCGACTTGGACTGATTGCTCTCAGGCGGTCACTCTCTGACCCCTCGTCGTCCCATCTCTCCTCGAGGCACGATCTGCCCCAACTCTCTTGCGAGCCCCGTCGCAACGCTGCGTCGCACGCCGAGTTGCGAGACAGAGCACGACTCAACCCAGACTGCTCGTTCGCTGTGTCTGTGCCTAACTTAAAACGTGACTCCCCTCTCTGGCATTCCTTGCGAGCGGGCAAAAAACACAAACAGAGCGAGAAGAAGCAGACACCCCCGCGACCTTTCCTAACCCTCCAAGCATTCCTGAGCCATCTGTTTGTGCTGCGGGGAGACAAAGGCGGCCGTGTTTAACTCCAAAACGTGAGCACCCTCTCCTCTCTCCGCGTCTCTTGCGAGAGAAAACAAACAGAATAAAAAAAAATATCTTTGGAATGTCAGGCACCGATTCCCCCCTGTGACCTTTTTGCTCCCTCTTTGCTTGCCAGACCCCGCTGGAAGACAAAGGTGGCTGAGGAGATGTTTGCAATACATTTATGTGGTCCTGTGTGTTACATTTATTTTTGAATTATATTTTATGAGTTCCTTCGGTCTTAGTATCGGGGTTATCATTTGTCTATGTTTAATGAATATTCGTAATGATCCTCGTCACATTATTATGTTGGGCTTCGCCAAGTTTAGTTCTCCAGAGATTGGTGTTTTATTCTGAGTTATATTTTAATGTCCTGAGGTTAAGCGTAACTATGTTTCCACTTAAGCTTTCTGGAATTCGTACTCTTTAGTTTTTAGCAAGGTCGTGTAGGTAGGAAACATATAATAATAGTAAAAATATTATTGTTTGTTGGTTAATTATCTTTGTTAAGTTTCTACTTTTCGGTAAGGAAAACGTTACGAAAACGCGAGTTGCAACCGTTATTTACTCTGCACCTTATCTGTACATCTCCAGATGTCTTGGGAGGCTAGTCCATACATCTTTTGTCCGTCTGGATGTCTATGACCTCTTTGTGACCGAATTCTCAACATTTTAACCGCCCTCCATGTTTCATGGATTCCTGGTGTGCTTGTGAGGAGAAGTGAGGAGAAGTGAAAAGATATATAGATAAAATAAAAATAAAAATATTTTTTTTTTTATTGTTCTTAATAAAAAAAAAGGGTATAGACACAACAATCCGCCCTTTTGAAAATTATCAGGGGTCGATTTGGCCACTGGCGAATTTTCAAACCAAGTAAATGCCCTTTTTTTGTGTTATGAATCCATAAGCCGCCCTCACTCTCGGTGGTTATTTCTCACGACGCGCGTGTACGTATTACAATCTTAACCTGGTTACATCTGAAATAAGCAAAGAAAATAAACAACACGTTAAACATCGATATCGCGTTACATCGGTTCTCGTCCATCATAACTACGGCGAATATTCATTTTTTTTTTGTTAAATCCTGGGAAACGCTCGGCAGCGGTTTCGGACGCACTTCTCACGACGCGCGTGTACGTATTACAATCTTAACCTGGTTACATCTGAAATAAGCAAAGAAAATAAACAACACGTTAAACATCGATATTGCGTTACATCGGTTCTCATACATCATAACTCCGACGAATATTCATTTTTGTTTTTGCTTAACATGGTTACATTTGAATTAAGCAAAGAAAATAACAACACGTTAAACATCGATATTGCATTACATCGGTTCTCATACATCATAACTACGGCGGATATTAATTTTTTTGTTTTTGTTAAATCCTGGGAAACGCTAGGTAGCGGTTTCGAACGCATTTTTGCGTTATTTTCCTCCTGTTACATCCTTGCAATCTTTTTACCAAGTTCCGAGTGTCTGGTTTACCACTTATCACTTTGATCATTCGATCACGGTTTTCGGGTTCGTTTTTGTAGATTCCCCTCTCACTCTCTCGCGTCGTGGGAATGTGTGGTGTAAAATTGTGCTGCACATAATCAGAATTCGCGCACACAACCAACTTCTGTACTCCGTCATCAATGGCATTCGCTCTCTGCGATTACATGCACATTTGCCGAGTCAGTGTGTCGATTTAATTCCGTGCCTCGTAATGTTGCCCTTTTGGTTTTTCCGAGTGGGTTGGATTTCAACACCATTCCCGATACGTCATGGACATTCGTCTCCATTCCAGCACTCCGATCCACCTTAATTTTGGTTTCCCTTGGATATTTTTTATTCAAAGGCTCACGCCTGCACTCCTCAGGGCGTGTCTCTGTGTTCGCTCTCCCTGCACCATTATCGCTCTCTTTTGCGACGCGTGGCACTGTTTTTCCTGTGTGCTCTCTCTGTCTCTGCTGTCTGTTATCTCCTGTCCGATCACGCTTCAATGCAGCCCTGTCCTTGTATTTGATCCGCGCGTCATTTACAAGAGCACTGCTCGTGTTTCCTACCGCATCGTATGCTTTTAATGTTTCCCTGTCGTGGCGGTATTTGTTCGCCCTGTCACTTGCAGCCTGCTTGTATTTCCCATTGAGCTCAGGGTTTAACAAAACCTCGGCGGGTGGTTCATCATGTATTTGGACCGCATTCTGTGTTATTCCTCTATTCCCTCCTGGTATAGCCGGTGGAGGAATTGGTCGTAATTGGACTGATTGTGTTTGACCTCCCATCCTGCGATTCTCGTACATTTTTGGCCCAGTGTTACTCCCATTTGGGTGCCAAATTTTTCCTGGATTGTTACTTTGCCCTTTTTGTGGGTAATTTTGACCTTGCGTGTATCGTGGCATGGGGTGTTGATATGGTTCTGTTCTGAACCTCTCCCTCCTACGATTCTCGTACATTTTTGGCCCAGTGTTTTTCCCATTTGGGTGCCAAATTTTTCCTGGATTGTTACTTCGCCATCTTTGTGGGTAATTTTGACCTTGCGTATGTCGGGGCATGGGGTGTTGATATGATTCTGCCCTTGGCCTCCACATTCTGCGATTCTCCTGAATGTTCGGCTTTGTGCCGCTCTCATTCTCGTGCCAACCTCTCTCTGGTTTATTTTGCCATGGGTGCGTGCGTTTTTGCTCCTCCCTGCATCGTGGGACTGCTCGGTGATTTTTATTTCTCTCTGAGAGGCTGGGTTCCTTATCCCTCTCCCTGTGTTCTGGATCCGAATTATGATTCTTAGCTCTGTATAACCATGCCATGTACGCCTTGCTCTCTATGCGGCGTAAGGATGCGGTTTCTGGATTCAAAACCATTCTCACCCTTTCTGTAATCTCTGGGCTCAAGGATTCAAAAAACATAATTTTGAACATTTTATCTCCTTCGTGGTATTGATTCACATCGCCTGCGTAATACGCTCTTTTAAATTGTAAAAGGTAGTCACGTGGGTCTTGGTCCATGCCCTGGGTCATCGATTTTACAGCATAAAACCCCTCAGTGAGTGTCGAATATTCTCCAAACTTCCGAATCACTGCCAGGCTCAGTTGTTTAAAATCATTTCTAACCTTGTGTGGTAGTGACTTTACCCATGGGATAGGATTCTTTATGTAAGCTCCGTTTCAACAAACTCGCTTTTTCATCCCGTCTCCTCAGCCCTCTAATCATTGCCTCCTCTTCTACTGTTGCGATATGTGTGTGCTATATCCATAGGACGTATTGTGTGGATCAAAATCGGGAATTCTGACTAGAGCCTTGTCCATCAATTTAAGGGTTTTAGCTGGTGAATAGGTATTCCGAAAGTTGATTCGCCGTCAGCGTCATCATCAAACAAGTTATCATCAGGCAATCTGTCACTTTGATCTGTACTGTGTCGGGCGTGATTAAGCGGTGTGCATTTTCTGTGTGCGCGCCCAGTGCCTGTGTCGCTCGTGTTGCCATTTCCCTTCAGTTTTTGCCTCTGCCCTTAGTGTACCATGTCCTGGCGATTTTACTTTAACTTTTGTGCGATCAGTCCCTGGACTCTGTCCACGTACCCAAGAGTGTGGTTTAATGTTACTTCCATATTTATTCTGTGGATCAACGTCTGTGAGTTTCGCTGGTCTCGCGAGAATTTATTTCTCCTCCCTCTCGAGGGTGTGAGGACATTTCTCCTCGTTTATTAGAGACGATTTCTCTCCCGTTTCCTTTCCAAATTTTTCCTCATTCCACAATCCCTGTCTGTATGCCTGTGTGAGAAGGTATGAGTCCTGTCCTGCCTTCTCTGCAGTTTTTGCATCGTGTTCGCCTTCGTTACATTTTATCCAGTCAATTAGTTTCCCCCGAGGTGTGTTCGTGTTATCGATACAGCTCCCTTCCCATATGTCTCTCTGACTGTACTGCTTTGTAACAGATTGGTCGGTACGCTTTAATACGAGCTCCCAGATTCCCGTAACCCATTCAAAAATTATTCTTAATCCTAGCATCTTAAGTATGGCAAGAGTTACTTTGACATTTCCTTTCAGAGTGCATATAAAACAGTTATCTCACAGAGTGTGGTCAGTTTGACTCGACGAGTCTGTTATTTTCCGATTCAGTGTGCGTACCTCTAACACCATTTATCACAGGATGCAATTGGTTCGATGCGATATTATCTTAATTCCACTGTCTCTGTTTCAACCTGCTATTCTGGGTTTTAACCTTAGAGGGCGTTTTTTTTGTTTTACGCCCAGTTTACAATTACCATGCAATGTTCGATCCCGATATTCTGGTTAACACGAAGTGATTCATTCCATCATCCATGCAAAACACTGTCTGCGAGAGATCCCGGTCGAGCCACCCAGTATGTTGTATGTGTTGGGATTATGAAATTTTGATGAAAATAATAAAAATTAATAATTTTCCGAAAAATGCGCAAATCGCATTAATTATGACAGTGTGTGTATTTAATATGCATAAATTATTATAATGTGTGTAATTATATGCATAAATTATGATAATCATGGAGATAATCGTAGTAATTTATGCGGATGCTTGCGATTATGTTACTGTGTGCAGTTATGATAATTAGGCTTAGTTTCGTTTATACAGAGTTATATCAATCAGGATAACACGATTATCATCGATTAAACATTTACTGATTATCTTAGTGTGTTTGTTATTTTAGGTCTCCAGTTTCAGATCTCATCACAGGATACAGTTATCAAGAATAAGATAGTTTTGCATGGACTTGGAAAGAAGCACTCGAACAGTTGGTGTTAAGCAATTTTAATTCTAAACAAGCACATGACACTCTCTTATGCGAAAGCAGGTATACGTCAATAAATTCATGTAACTCGATTATGCAATTAACGAAAATGAATGACTAAAAATACTTCTTCATTGGCGAAATTATGCAGTTAACGAAAATGAATGACTAAACATTTCTTATTCATGTAACTCGACGGCAGCAACTGCTTTGCTCGATCAGTTGATATTGAACGCACCACCTCGAAATGGCAACCCTTTTTGAAACGCAAAGATCACTTTTTGAAAGTCTTATTCGTGTGCGTGCTGTGTGTGCGTTGTCCCCTCGTAATATTAATTGTGTCGTTAGCTTGTGTGGTGTAGGAGGATACAAACAGCGGCCAGGTGTTCCTCTCGATTGGGCGTGGCCGCCGCAAGCTCCTGCTGCTCCCTCGCTCGGACGCGTCTCTGCTTGTGCGCTCTCTTTTTCTCCACTGCTGGATGACGAGTTGGCACGACGCTCGGTGACGCCCGGTGACGTCCGAGTCGTGCTGCTCTTGCGCTCTCTCTCCCTCTGCTGGATGACGAGTTGGCACGACGCTCGGTGACGCCCGGTGACGTCCGAGTCGTGCTGCTCTTGCGCTCTCTCTCTCTCCACAGCCGTTTGACCAGGCTTTCTCCACTGCTTCGCGCTCTCTGCTTTGCACGCTTGGTCGACGCTTGGCGATCTCCGCCCTTTTACAGGTTGATTGCTTGTCGTCACTCGTCACTCTCTCTGCTCCGTGCTTCCCTTGTTCGTGCAGCTGCCAGCTTCACTCGCACTTAACTTCGTTCTGCGAGAAGCGACACCGGCTATCGGCATCGGTGTTTCGTTTCCTCACGACGCTCCGCCAGCCGGAGCACGGCTGAAACCCAGCCCCGAACTCAGACTTCTGCGACTCGAACGACTCCTCCTCGTTCCATCACTTCTCGCGGCACAACCGCCCCAGCTCTCTTGCGAGCCCCCGTCGCAACGCTGCGTCGCAAGCCGAGTTGCGAGACTGAGCGCGACTTGGACTGATTGCTCTCAGGCGGTCACTCTCTGACCCCTCGTCGTCCCATCTCTCCTCGAGGCACGATCTGCCCCAACTCTCTTGCGAGCCCCGTCGCAACGCTGCGTCGCACGCCGAGTTGCGAGACTGAGCACGACTCAACCCAGACTGCTCGTTCGCTGTGTCTGTGCCTAACTTAAAACGTGACTCCCCTCTCTGGCATTCCTTGCGAGCGGGCAAAAAACACAAACAGAGCGAGAAGAAGCAGACACCCCCGCGACCTTTCCTAACCCTCCAAGCATTCCTGAGCCATCTGTTTGTGCTGCGGGGAGACAAAGGCGGCCGTGTTTAACTCCAAAACGCGAGCACCCTCTCCTCTCTCCGCGTCTCTTGCGAGAGAAAACAAACAGAATAAAAAAATATCTTTGGAATGTCAGGCACCGATTCCCCCCTGTGACCTTTTTGCTCCCTCTTTGCTTGCCAGACCCCGCTGGAAGACAAAGGTGGCTGAGGAGATGTTTGCAATACATTTATGTGGTCCTGTGTGTTACATTTATTTTTGAATTATATTTTATGAGTTCCTTCGGTCTTAGTATCGGGGTTATCATTCGTCTATGTTTAATGAATATTCGTAATAATCCTCGTCACATTATTATGTTGGGCTTCGCCAAGTTTAGTTCTCCAGAGATTGGTGTTTTATTCTGAGTTATATTTTAATGTCCTGAGGTTAAGCGTAACTATGTTTCCACTTAAGCTTTCTGGAATTCGTACTCTTTAGTTTTTAGCAAGGTCGTGTAGGTAGGAAACATATAATAATAGTAAAAATATTATTGTTTGTTGGTTAATTATCTTTGTTAAGTTTCTACTTTTCGGTAAGGAAAACGTTACGAAAACGCGAGTTGCAACCGTTATTTACTCTGCACCTTATCTGTACATCTCCAGATGTCTTGGGAGGCTAGTCCATACATCTTTTGTCCGTCTGGATGTCTATGACCTCTTTGTGACCGAATTCTCAACATTTTAACCGCCCTCCATGTTTCATGGATTCCTGGTGTGCTTGTGAGGAGAAGTGAGGAGAAGTGAAAAGATATATAGATAAAATAAAAATATTTTTTTTTTTATTGTTCTTAATAAAAAAAAAGGGTATAGACACAACAATCGGCACAGTCATCTCAGGCAGTCAACCCATGGCACCCGCTGGGTCTGTCCTGTGACCTCCTCCTCCTACACCTAGTCTGGCGCAGCAGTCAACCCATGGCACCTGCTGGGTCTGTCCCGTGATCTCCCCCTCCTGTACCTAGCCTTGCACAGCAGTCAACCCATGGAACCTGCTAGGTCTGTCCCATGACAACCTCCTGTTGTCAGCAGGGAGCCTTTGCCACTTCACGTGATGGCCTCAAAATTGCACCATGACTGGCACAAGCGCCGTGATGACGTCATCGCCACTTCGTGGCGGTTGTTGCTGCAGCAAAGAGTGGTAGCGCAGCGATTAGCGTTGCGCTGCTGTGCTACGAACCCCGACAGAGACCCGAGTTCAATTCCCGCTCACGGCCAACACCAACCACCGTTTCCTGGGCTCAGTCCCCTAGGTCGACTCAGCCACAAATGAGTTACCTGGTGTGCAGTGGTGTGTGTGCTAAACATCACCACTAGGGGAAACAAAGGAGGCCGGGCGGGCGTGGCGTTGGCCACCCAACCCCTCGTGCCACAGTGGTGGCCTTCATAGGTGCTACTACTCGCTATTAACAGCACTTACCCCAACAGTCTGTTACAGGCTACACGGGGGATCTTTGTCTTTGGTGGAGTTATTGGTGGTGGAGTTAGTGGTGGTGAAGTTAGTGGTGATGAAGTTAGTGGTGGTGGAGGTGGTGGAGGTGGTGGTGTAAGTGGCGGTGGTGGCGGCCGAGGTAGTGGACGTGGTGGTAGTGGTGGTGGAGGTGGTAGTAGTGGTGGGGGAGGTGGTGGAACAGGTGGTGGGGGAGGTGGTGGAACAGGTGGTGGTGGAGGTGGCGGTCGAGGTGGTGGTGGAGGTGGTGGTAGGGGTGGGGGAGGTGGTAGAGTCGCTGCTGCTCGCTTCACAGTCGCTGCTGCTCGCTACGAACACCACTCGCCCCAACAGTCTGTCACTGATATACGGGGAGCGGGGGGGGTCTTTGTCTTCGCGTCTCTTACAGCGAGCATGAGTCCAACTTGGACTCACCGGCAGCGACGTCGTCTTCACGGCTCAACGCGCCCCCTCCGAGGAGCGCCGTCTTCCATCCTGGGTGCTCTTCAACCTCCCGCTTGATCGCCCACCCCGCAGACATCCTTACTCCTTGCCTGTCGACACACACAGGAGGCTCCTTCATGGTCACGGCAAATACAGTCACACTCATCGAAGCCCATACTAAAACATTTTATTTTTATTTTAACGGGTGTAAGGCACCCACACTGAGCTGCGTGGCTCTTTTGTCAGAACCGACGCTGGCTATCTATCACACGTGTAGAGGAGTGAAATACGCGGTGCGCACAGTTAACCAAGGGCAACTGAGGGCAAACAGGTGCGCGTGTGCAAACATTAGGTTTGCACAGACAAACTGACAGTTGTCAAGGGGCAAAGCAGGTACAGACGGGGTCGACCGGTTGTGCACGTCAAGGCCGGAGGTGTTGCCAGGGAGTTGGGAGATAAGGGTTGATTGAAGGGCAAACAGGCACCAGCCTGGCTGAGCTTAAAGAGACACACGAGAGGTCTCGGATAATTGGCAGGGGGATATAAGGGCGTGTGCCTGAGCAGAGCGGGGAGTTGTTGCTGGGGACAAGAGTGAAGACATCTCGCCGCTGCCGCTCGAGCTGTCAACGAACCTCAACCCTCACACGTCGCCGGTGAGTGGGTCTGAGGGAGCGTAGGTGAGGGCAGCGGTGGAGTTGTAGAGTTGCTGTGTGCGAAGCTGCTGAGTGCGGAGACGCTGTGTGCGAAGACGCTGCGTGCGGAGACGCTGTGTGCGGAGTTACTGAGAGCAGAGCTGCCGAGTGCAGGATACGTAAGGTGTAAAGTAGATACGAGGAGGAGAAGTTAAACATAAGTGACCATATAGATAGTTATAGGAGTGCCTACAACTGGTGCAGGAATAGGTGAAAAAAGTGTAAGCAGGTGACTTGTTACAACGTGTCGGTGTGAGTAATTTTTTAACACACTACACACGTAATGATGGCAGCTCCAACGAAGTGGGCTGATATCATCATCACGTGTAAATTCACCGCAGTCAAAACACTCTCTAAACGCGTGGTGAAAAATCCACACAGCCACCACGGGGAGAGAGAGACATGCAAACTCTAAATATACAACAGGCATCGTCAGGGTCCAGAATTGAACCCATGCCCTCCTGCATAGCAGGAAAAGTAGTTAACGTCTAGAATTCGTGAGAATTATTTAATTATGTGTTATTTTTATTATTTTATTATTTCCCTTCTACGTGACTTTACCGAAAGAACCAAGAAGATAGTTAACGTCTCCCTAGAAATCGTGGCATCAGGGTCGGGATCGAACCCACGACCTCCTGCATACCGGGCGAGGTAGTTAACATCTCCCCAGGAGCAGGATGAGCAGTAGCAGCAGAAGCAGTGGTCCCGGCCTCGTGAGTTCCACAGCGAGAGGTGGTGATGGAGGTCGTGGTGGTGGTGGTAGATGTGGTGAAGGTGGTGATGGTGGTGTAGTGGAGGAGGAGGTGGTGGTGGTGAAGGTAGTGCTGGAGGTGGTTGTGGTGGTGAATGTGGTGGTGATGGTGGTGGAGGTGGTTAAGGTGGTGCTGGCCACCCACCCACTCGTATGCAAGGAGGAGACGGCGCTGTTAGGGAGCGGATCTCCGAGCAGGGGAACCTCCCTGCAGGAGGAGATGAGACGGAACGTTGAGGAGGAGGAGGTCGGTTGGAAGGAGACGGAGCATGGCGTGCCGTGGGCTGACCCCGCGGGGTCACCGAGAGGCGGAGCGTCCAATAGATCAAACGACAGCAGCACGGCGGCTCGATGCGCCAATCGTCGGGTCACTTGGAGTTGAAGTCGCTGGCTCAACGTTGGGCTCAACGTTAGCCCAACATTGGGCCAACGTTAGCGGAACGTCAGCTCAACGTTCGGCTAACGTTGAGCCGACGTTATATTGTTAACTGCGGGTGTAAGCCTGGTCCCTAGCTTCACCGCATGTAGTTTTTGTCCCTGCTCCCCTTGTGTGTGTGTGCTGACGGTGACTGATTTACGTCTGAGTCGACCGAGACATGGTACATTTATAGCTTTCGGATCAGTTATTAAAATCAGAATCTTGCATTTGGACTGCAGGAGGAGGTAATCCGATGAGCTATAAAGCTCTTTGCTTACAGATGCCCCAGTACGGCAGTCAGAACGTTACAACAACAAACACGATACTCACACAGAGCAAACGTCAACAAATCGCTTGCAACAAAAACAATGTATGTTACCTGGTTGCTCTTTTTTCAGAAGCAAACCTGGCCTTCACAAACTAAAGTCTATAAACTATTAACTCTTGACTTCAAACTTTCGTGACTGCAGGAATTCATATTCTTTGGGTCTTTCGGTAAAGTCACGTAGATAGGTTAAAAGAAAATAAAAAAAAATAACAAACATCTACGACGAAACGTTGCTTTTTGTTATTTGCTTTGAACCTATCTACGTGACTTTACCGAAAGACCCAAAGAATAAAAACTATTAACTATTTTATTTCACCAGGTAAGGCTCCATTGAGCTGTGTAGCACTTTTTCAGAAGCGACCTGGCCATCACAAACTAAACTATGTTCATGTTATCAGATAAGGCCCCCACTGAGCTGTGGAACTCAAACAACACCGAGGTTCATGTTAATCAGGATTCAAAACCGCACCTCACTGGCTGGACTTGCAGTCTAATACTCGAGCTCAGTGCGACAAACACATCAACCACCATGCTCTGATAAAATACAGTGTCCGAACACGAATACTGTAGACCAAAATATGAAGTCGAATAACTTTGTTATTCGAGATACTGACATAAATGGGATATGCGCCAGGGCCATGTTATCAAATAGGCCACAGTGTCTACGAAAACTAAAAGGATCTACGAAAAACAAAATTGAGCCCGTATTTTTTGTTTGGACGATAATAAAAATGTAACCAACCGGCAATGGATACCCATCGTCATTTATACGCATTAATTAATCCCCCCCCACTTCGTGCAAGAAGAGCTCACAAGTGATGCCATCACATCTACCGTATTTTCCCGCATATAACCCGCGGGATATACCACTTTTTACACGTTTTTATTTAACTCACTCTGTCGTTGTCGTATCCTCAAATCTTGTAACTCAATTTTAACCCACTTCCCAATTTGGTATCGACTGCAAACTTGGGAAACTTATGTCATACTGATAATACTATATTCTGTCATTTAAAAAAACATTTTTTACATGTTATGTTTCACCTTGGGTCTAATTGTCCACGCTCAACTGACGTTGGCTATATATCACCACGGTCCCTTACGTTATGGCAAGCCTCGGGGCCACTTCCTGGAGTCGTGGAGTTCTGCCATTACTCGTACGGTACCTTTCATTAAAGTGTTTTTTTTTTAAAAGCATTTTTAAATATTACTTATTACAAACAAAACAAGACCCTGCGGGGATTATGGAGGTGCGGGCTATCCAAAAAATATTTTACACGCATGACATGTCATAACTCGTAAAATGTTTTCATGACAGGACTATACACTATGCAACACCTACCTTTGACTAAAGCGCTGCTAAATAAACCACTAACACTAAAATTGCACACGTTTTAAATTATTCGAATTGTTTGTACAATGAAACGACAATGTTTGAAGTGGGCGCACTTTGTTTACCGTAATACTTTCAGTGGCTATAGGGGGGTGTGAAAGTTTCAGCTGAGACTATGGATTGCACAATGGGAAGGGCCTTAACAAGCGTTTAATAGCCGCTTTCAGGAGCGATGAGAATTACAATACTTCTTCACTGAAAATCGAGGCAATTGTGTTTGTCTAATTTGTAAAGAGACGGTTGCCTTGTTTAAGGATTTCAACGTAAAGAGACACCACGAGACTAAACATGCTACAACATACGACAAGCTAACAGGGAGTGACTGCGCTGAAAAAGTGAGGCAACTCCAAGCTGCTCTGGCATCGCAACAGCGATTCTTCACGCAGGCCATTGAGTCAAAGGAAAACATCACCAAAGCCAGCTATGAAGTGGCCATGTTAATAGCTAAACATGGCAAACCTTTTACTGAAGGTGCGTTTATCAAAGACTGTGTCATGAAAATGGTGGAGAACATTTGCTCCGAGAAGAAGCAATAATTTATTAATGTTTGCCTGGCACGCAACACTGTGGCACGGAGAGTGGAGGACATATCGTCAGATATTCAGAGACAACTGGGGGACAGGGGAGTGGCTTTTGATTATTTCTCATTAGCCTGCGATGAAAGCACCGATGCATCTGACACTGCACAACTACTTATTTTTTAAAGAGGAGTTGATGTCAACATGAACGTGACAGAGGAGCTGCTTGACCTCAAAAGCCTTAAAGGGCAAACCAGAGGAACAGATTTATTCGTTTCTGTTTGTGAAGCTGTTGATGATATGAAACTACCATGGAGTAAAGTTTCTGGGATCATTACCGATGGTGCACCTGCCATGGCTGGTGAGCGAAGTAGATTGTCCACACTGATCTGCCATAAAGTCAGCGAAGAAGCAGGCAACGCTATTAAACTTCACTGTATCATTCACCAGGAGGCTCTCTGCGCCAAACATCTCAAATTTGACGATGTTATGAAACCAGTGGCAAAGTCAATCAATTCTATTCGCTCTAAAGCTCTATACCACCGACAGTTTAAGCAGTTCTTGCGTGACATCCAGGCTGAATACGGTGACGTAATATATCACAACGATGTGAGGTGGCTAAGTCGGGGGTCCGCACTGCAGCGATGTTTCTCTCTCAAAGAGGAAATTGGACATTTTTTGGGTGAGAAGGGAAAACCAATGGAAGAACTGTCCGTCCCGTATGGCTGGCAAATCTGGCTTTTTTGGTTGACATAACGAAGCATCTGAATGCGCTGAATGTTAATCTTCAAGGAAAAGATGCAGTGGTGAGCCAGCTATATGCTCACATCAAGGCCTTTGAAACCAAACTGCAACTTTTCCAAAGACACTTGTCCCAAACAGAGCCCTGCACCGCACACTTCCCAGCTTTGAAAGAGGTCATTGACAATTTCCCACAGGACAACGTTGGTGCGCAAATGAAGAGTTATGCAACAGCTATCGCATCTCTTTCTGTGGAATTTAACAAACGCTTTCGGGACTTTTCAGTTATTGAAAAGGACATGTTGCTTTTCTCTTCTCCCTTCTCCGTGGACCCTGATGATGCTCCTCCACAGCTGCAGCTGGAGCTCATTGAGCTGCAATGTGACGATAAGTGCCGCGGAAAATACCAGCAGTGTTCTCTTGTTGACTTTTACCGGCAGCCGGACAAAAGCCGGTTTCCAGAAATGCGGTCATTCGCTAAGAAAATGCTGAGCTTATTCGGCTCCACATATTTGTGTGAGCAAACATTCTCAGTCATGAACTTAAACAAGAACCGATTGAGGTCAAGGATGAGTGACTCCCACTTGAGTGACATTTTACGCATCTCAACCACTGCCCTCAAGCCAGACCTGGTCTCTTTACTGAAATCTAGATCTCAGTATCACCCTTCTCATTAGTGTCAGCAAGTTATCTGTTCCTTGATCAATCTGAAATTGAGTGTTTTGAACGGTAACATCTGTCTATTAACAGCGAAAAGCCCAAAGCACACTACTGCACTTGGACTTATGGCACTTGTTTTTATTAAACTCTTGAATAAGATTTGGTTATAACTGTTGATGTTATGTACCTGTAGATGTGACACAAACTATTGCTTTCTGAAATATCTTGTAAAAGTCAAGGGCAAAATTTACTTGTTTTAAAGTTTAATGATAACAGACCACTTTGCATTACTTATAACTCTTGTTTAAAATGTTCATAAGGCAAAGATATTTAACTCATGGAAATTTAAGGTATTCTATACAGTTTGTTCAATGTTATCTGATTGAATGAAAGGCAGAATTGTGTTTTTAGAGTTGTTCACGTCTGCCTGAGTGGCTTATATTTGGTTACATTGTCATTTGAAAAATACAGATAATTGTGACAATTAAAATTGTTTTATAAAAGTGTGTATTTTCACGTAACTTTTGTGGTGAAAAAAATGTCAGAAGGAACTATTGGCCCCCGGGCATCTTCACTTTATCGAATTTGGCCCTCTTTGCAAAAAGTTTGGCCACCCCTGTTCTAGATGAAGTGGTGGTGCTCAAACTACCGAGGACATCTCAGACTCGGTGGAATTTTCACTCGCAAGCTGTAAACACAGTATACGAGCATAAGAATGATCTCATTCAATGTTTTCAAAGAATACAGGATAGCAACGAGTTTTATCCAACCATGGAGCATGAGGCTGGGGAGTTCTTGCGACTTTTGGAGGATTGGGAGTTTCACTTTTTTTAAGTTGTTTCACACCTTGATGCCACATGTCGACATTCTGTTTAATCAACTACAGAAGATAAACATTTTCTTGGTTCTTTCGGTATAGTCATGTAGAAGGGAAGTAATAAAAGAATAAAAATAAAACATAATAAAATAATTCTCACGACGTTTCGGCCACAACGCAAGCAGCCTTCCTCATGTGAAGAATGAAACACCACCAAGCTTGGAGCATATATTTAAGCTGGGTTGGAGGGGGGAAGAAGAGCGCCTGGACAAAATAATTTGCATATCAAGATTACCTTAGAGTCGCGGCATCTCTTCAGAAAGGTGAGAGACTCGATTAGCTGAGCCTTATTATCATGGAGCTTGTTGAAGGATCTTAAAGTTTTATGGAATCCCACCCCGTAGTGGCGGTTAAATTTCGATTTAAAGCTTTTGTGACTGCAGGGATTCATCTTCTTGGTTCTTTCGGTAAAGTCACGTAGAAGGGAAGTAATAAAATAATAAAAATAAAACATAAAATAATTCTCACAACGTTTCGGCCACAACGCAAGCAGCCGTCCTCAGGTGAAGAATGAAACACCACCAAGCTTGAAGCTTAAATTTAAGCTGGGTTGGAGGGGGGAAGAAGAGCGCCTGGACAAAAGAATTTGCATGTCAAGATTACCTTAGAGTCGCGGCATCTCTTCAGAAAGGTGAGAGACTCGATTAGCTGAGCCTTCTTATCACGCAGCACTTAACAGTACAATAGAGGCCTACCCCATGATGAACGGGAGGAAACTGTGAACATAACTTTCCCTCATAATAATAGGGTTTTTCCCCTTTTTTTTCTGGCAACAAAACTGAAACCTTTTTCCAAGGATTCACGTCTGCATTAACCACAATACTTGCAGTCAAATGCAAACAAAAAACACACTATGATAATATATGCATTGTCCTTGAAACTGATTGGTCCACACCAAGGGACGGCTTTCTTTTCAGCCTCGACCCAATTGGTGCTCGACCAGAGGACGCCAAAAGGCGTACAGCTCAAAGACAATGCAATATCAAAGTAATGAGGGCTCGGGGTGAGCATCTACATCATTGGACCTCCTTTACCAATACCAAAATATAATAATAGTTTTCCCCCTTTTTTTTCTGGCAACAAAACTGAAACCTTTTTCGGGGTGAGCATCTACATCATTGTATCTACATCGCCTCGACGGACCTGGTTTTCACCTGAGGACGGCTGCTTGCGTTGTGGCCGAAACGTCGTGAGAATTGTTTTATTATGTTTTATTTTTATTATTTTATTACTTCCCTTCTACGTGACTTTACCGAAAGAACCAAGAAGATGAAGGGGAAAAACCCTATTATATTTTGGTACTGGCAAAGGAGGTCCAATGATGATAACTTTCCCTCATCTACGAGTTTCAAATATGCAGTGGCGCAATGGCTCTCCTCCAGATGATTGTGGAAATCAACCAGGATACTACCTTCTCTGAGACTCTGAAATTCCTTCGGATCCACATTATGACCCCGATGACCACTGCTGATGCTGAAAGGTCTTTTTCAACTTAAAAAATAATAAAAACACTTCTGAGAAATACCAGGTCCCAGGACTTCAACACACTTGCTATGCTTTCAATGGAAAAGAAGTTGATAAATTAAATTCCCGACTTCAACAGGCGAGTGATTGAAAAGCTTTCTTCTCAGAAGGATCAATGTGTCAAATTCTTGTGTAACGGGTTCCGGAGACACTTGTAGAGGTAACTTGTTTATTACAACCCAACACTCTCCAACAGTCCAACTCTCTAACAGTCCTGATACTCTGTTACAGCCTAGGTACACAGCCTAGGTACACAGCCTAGATACTCTACTCTGGCTACGCTCTGGAACTCGCCCTCACAAGGTCGTAGAGTCGGGAGTTCCAGAGTCCCACCATTGGCTCTCACAACATCCCAGGGTCTTCAGATGGCTGGTCGTGGGTCTTGGGTCTTGAGCTACGAATGGCCCCGATCGTCCAGGGAGCTCTCCTTTTATGCCTGGTCCAACGAGGGGTGGGGCCGTGTGCGCCACCAGACATCCCACAGAGCACACACAGCCGCCCCCCCCCCCCCCCCCCCCCCCGTTGGCGGCGCCAAAAGGCTTAAGCGCCTGGGAACCCAACGCCTGGCACCCAGAGGCTTAAGCGTCTGGACCCCCTGGGAACCCAGCGCCTGGCGCCCAGAGGCTTAAGCGTCTGGACCCGCCCGGGAACCCAGAGCCCCCAGCAGCCCCTCCCTTCTTATGTCACTACACTTGTACAAATAGGCCATTGGAGAGGAAAGGGAGCCTACTATTGTGAGTAGCCCATCTTGGGGATATTATGTGCAATAAGCAATTTTAAATTATGTAATGGCAATTTAACAGGTTGGTTTAAATAGGTTAAGCATGTAGACCAGGGGTGGGAAACGTCCGGCCCGCAGGCCGTATAAGTCCCGCAAAATCATTTGGTCTGGCCCTGCCAAAGCAACCGCAGGCGGGACTCGAAATTCAATAAATCTAGGAGCAAACCTGGAAAAGCAGTTGCGAGTAGCAACATCATAAATACCAACTAACATCACACGCCTCACCAAAGAAAAGCAGTTCCAGCCATCACATTAGGGGTGAGTTAATTAAATGTTTGACCAAATATAACAGGCAAATTTTTAAGTTAATAATTTTGTATGGCCCGCGAATGATGTTATAAATATCCAAATGGCCCTTGGCAGAAAAAAGATTACCCACCCCTGATGTAGACAAATAGCACTCATGTGGCTTTAAAACCAGACACATGTGTTACATTGCACTTAATCGGGCTTAAACCCAAAATCAAATGTGTAGGCTGTCAGTATAGGCCTGGCTTTCCATTCGACAATGTAGTCAGTGTAAAGTGATGTTACAGTTGCCACAGATAAACAGTGAGACAAACAGTGACCACACAACGAAACAAGCTCTAAGTGAAGTAAATAGTAGGCCCGTGTACATTGTATTGTCGCCAGTGAATACAGATCAAAGCTTTTTGTGTAGGTGGGTCTACAAAGGCGTGTGGCTGTGATTGTACAGTATGTGGTGTCTTGGTTGCCTTGGCTAATTTGTTTAGTCGTGTCAGCTGATCTTTAATTGTTCTCTAGGCTTTTACAGTGTTAAAGGAGTTGTGTAGTGTTGACTTGTGGGTCATGGGGACAGCATTTGAGTGCTTTGTTGTTTTGTTTCATATTTATAAATGCCTACCGTTGGTAGATAAGACGGTTATATCACTTGACTTAAAGTTTCCGTGACTGCAGAAATTCATATTCTTTGGGTCTTTCGGTAAAGTCAAGTAGGTAGGTACAAATTCATAAATACAAATATATAAAATAAACAAGAAACTACGACGTTTCGATCACAACACAAGCGATCGTCTTCAGGAGGAAAGAGGGCGAAAGCTGCTGAATGCAGACTTTTATAGGGTGTAGTCCTAGCGTCATAAACGTAGTGGGTGGGGCTAGTGATGCTAATTAGCATGTTCGTGTAAGATCGCAGAGCCACCGCTCAAAAAGCAAGCACTGTCCAAACCCAGCCATATATTTATTCGTAGCTCCAGTGAAAGATGTATTTTAGTCATTTCTGGTTTAAATTGAGATCCCTTCCCTTTATAACTCACTTATCTTCCGCCATTTCCAAGTCAAGGGTCGTATATACTGACCCAGTAGCATATATATCTTGAAAACTAGAGCCAATCAACAATTTCAAGCATCATTTACATTCTCAGTGACCCAGAGTTAGTCAAGTTGGACTACATTTATTTCAGAAGAATTATGGCTGTATACCAGTGTAATACAACTTTTAATGCCAATCCCTGTGTTTAGTGTACACGCTGTCCAACTTTGGAATCGACAGGAGTGAAGTTGGACTTAGGAACAAATCGACTTACAAGCCTCTGAAACCGAACGCGTTCGTAAGTGGAGTCACTTTACTTCCAAGTACAGCAATCCCTCGCCAACCGCGGGTGGTTAGGTTAATGAAAACGCCTCGCGGTCGGTAAATACGTGCTTGGTGAAGTTACAGAGCGCCTACTGGACTTAGGGGGGTTAGGGGAACCACAGCGATGGGTCCGACTCGTCGTATCTTGACGAACGCGCTGTGTTCCTTAACTAAACACAAAGTAAAATACGACGCATTGCACAAAAACATCACGAAACATAAATAAACATTACGTTAGATTTACATAGGGGCCGTCCATAAATGATATCACGCGATTTTGGACGATTTTTGACCCCCCCCCCCCCTCGTCACACGGTGTCACAAAGTCAGACCCCCCTCATATATGACGTCACAAAGCTCTGCCACCCCCTCCCCCCAAAAATAAAGCATGCTTCAAATCGCTTTAAACTATTGTCATTGTAGTGCGTATTTAATGTGGCGCTGCACTCTGATGTTGTAGAAAACATTTATTAACAAGTCTATTTAATTAAGTAGAACGTGTTGTCTATATTTATTTAAAGTTTCACATTTTGATGTGACGTCACATTTTGATGTGACGTCACATTTCTCAAAGCCCCTCGCGACACATCGTCACAAATATCTGACCCCCTCCAGGTGTGACGTCATTTATGGACGGCCCCATACCTTTAATAATTACGATGATGACGATGGTGGGGGGGTAGGTCTGGTTAGAAGCAGGAGGGGGGCTAAGATCCCCCTCTTCTTCCTCCTCCGGTAATAACTGAGGCAACCAACTCTCATGTCACTCTACTAGCTACCATGTTTGCGAGTCCACGATCAAGGGGCAAAATTAATGTGTACCGGACAGTACTGTACAGGACAACACTGTAAGCACTCTACACCAATGTCTAGCTCTGCATAACACTTTAGAGTCCTGTACAGCACGAGTTGCCCGTCTGTATTGTTGTAATGTACAACTGTACAGCACTGTACTGTACAGTATCGTGCGGTGCTGTAAGTACTGTAGGTATTCACAGTACTGTACAGTGCAACAAAACAAGCAGCTGATCGGCTAAGCAGGGCCACGGCCCCCCACAAAATTTGTAACGTCACGCTTTGGTGGCAATGACATCATAACGTCATGTGATTTCCTTAGCACACCCGTGCTTACCCACGTGGAAGCTCACATTTCCAGACCGCGGTTGTGTGGACTGGTGGCAAACCCCTGCAATAATTACTTCGTGAGGCGTGAGGAGTGAATCAGACCAATGGCAGAGGTGCAAAAGAACAGAGAGGGAGGGATTTGTGTGGTAGTTACGGACCCCAGAGGGGGTTTGCCTTGCGGAAACGAGCGGGAGTCCCGCGCGATGGCGCGGACTGCTTAGCAGAAGCGTAAATGTTTTATTTCACGACTCGGTTCGCGTGTATCACTCGGTTGGTAAACGTCCAGAAATACAGCCGCATAATACTAAAATCTCGTGGTTGGTAAACGGGTGTATAGAAGTACATCCGCGTAGTACTCAAATCTCGCGGTTTGTTAAACGGGTGTACAGAAATATATCTGCGTAAATAGTCAAATCTCACGCTTTGGTAAAATTAACGGTCGGCAAGGCATTACTGTATTGCAACCTCTCCCCTTCGTTTGCGTACATTAAACAATGCCTTTGTTTAAATATTGTGACGATTATTTTTCAGTAAATCCTTTTTGTATTCCATTAAACCCTTTCCCATTTGGGCGACGTACATGTACGTCATCAGTTTTGATTCCGGTTCCATTCCGATAACATACACGTACGTACGTCATCGAAACAGAACCAGAAGAAAAAAAAACTTTTATCAGTACCATGGCTGCCCCCATATTTTTTGAGCCAGCTACCGTAGAGTGACGCCAATCGTGCCTCTACGGTTCTCTGCGGTAACGTCGTCTTTATAGGCACAATGGCGCTGCTGCTACTACTACCACTACGCCTCTCTCTACAATAAAATTAATGACTGAGAACCGCTTGCGCCACTCTGAGTCTATGGGTAACAGTGCTGAGTATGGGCAGTGTTGAGTCTATGGGTAGTGTTGAGTCTATGGGTGGCAGTGCTGAGTGAGTATTGGTCAACCCAGCCGCTCCTCTGCGTGGCCGGCCATGTGCACATAGAGGTCCAACGAGCGCACGAAGTTCTTCCCGCACACGGAGCAGCAAAGCGGGTTGTGGCCGGCGTCCAGCGCGATGTGGCGCCTCGCGTCCGACGGCCACGCGAACCGCTTGCCGCACACGGGGCACAGGTGCGGCCTCTCGCCCGTGTGCGAGCGCGCGTGGCTCCTCAGCTTCGATGGCTTCTCGAAGCCCTTGCCACACACGGCACACATGTGTGGCCTCTCGCCCGTGTGCGAGCGCGCGTGGGTCACGAGGGCCGACCGCAGCGTGAACGCCTCTGGACACCAGAGGCACTTGTACGGTCTGCTCCGACGAAACTTTTTGCTGCCACCGCCGGCCGCGAACTCCTTACCGGGCCCCGGGCGGCCGAGCGCTTGTGGACATGGCTCCGTGTCACCCCCACATCCCCCTGTGTCCCCTGCTTCTTCCATTCCGCAGAAGTGGGTCCTGGGCTGAATTGGCCGAAAGCTCATCTGGCTCTGGGAAGCAAACGTTTTAGTCCGCAGCTTCTGCTGTTGCTGCTGTTTCTTCCTGCTGCTGCTATCTGCGATCGGTCGTCTTCCCGGGTCGTTGTCCAGCGCTACTTCTGTGCAGGTAGGGGGGGACAAAAAAAAAACGGAAGGAATCATTCAACTTGCTCTGAAAACTTCTCGCAACGTTCACAATCACTGATGAATTCCCATCAAGTCACATCAACCTTTGCGTAATGTACGTATAATAATAATTTACACTTATAAAGTGCGTGTCACCCAGAGGTCGCAAGGAGCTCCACAGAGCTAAAAGCAAGTAAGTGAATAAGTTAACGCAATTCTAATACCTCATATAAGCACACAGGCTCATGATTTAACCACGTATAAAAATACCTCCAACCCCCATGTTCCCAAAACACATAACAAAATTAACGAGGAAAGGCCTTCAAGAAAAAAAATATCGGTCGAGGAGTGAATTCCACAGCTTGGGGGCCACACGGGAAAAGGGCACATCGTCACTCATTGATTGGCGGCACGACCTCGGCACACACAGTAGTAGCCCACACTCGGACAACTGAAGAACTCGCATTGGGACATACAGGTGGAGGAGTGTTGTATATGTCGGGTCTTGAAAAAATTTTTAAAAGTATTTTTAATGAAAACATATAATTGTATACAAATGCATGTTAATATGTAATTATGTACATAATTTATGTTGTGGAGGTGTAGTTGTATTCAGTTATGCGAGTGTATGTAATTATGCTAATTCATGCAATTATGATAATTAGGCTCTGCCTCGTTGTCTGGGGTCGTATTATCAATCTGGATAATAGAATGAGTTGTATGGAGTTATGCAAGTGTGATGTAAGCATGCTGAATAAGCTCAGCTTCGTTGTCTCGGGTTGTATTATCAATCGGGATAATACAATGATTCTCGCTTTAGCTTTTACTGATTATGTTTTAGTGTGTTTATGTCAGGTCTCCAAATTCAAATCTCACCACAGGATTCAGTTCTCAAAAGTAAGATTATTATGCATGGACTTAGGAAGGCACCACTCAGACACTTCTGTGTTAAGCAATTTTAATTTCTAACCAAAAACATAACACTAAGATGCGAACTCTTATGCTTGGAATTGTCACAGTACTCCTGGAGATGTTCTCCTCATTGATCCATACATTTAACCCTCAATGATTACGTTTGTTAAACTGGGTAACAGAACAATCCATTAATTCCTTGGAGTAACGCGAGCATATAAGGCGATAGGAAAAAGTCCTTAAAAATGAATGTGACGATATTCATACGAACGGCAATAAAGAAACATGTCGGGAAAGCAAAAATAGACCTCAATGAATTCATTGGTAAGATTATGCAATTAACTAAATGTGTGCCTGCTTCAGCAAATGCTTATCAATTGGCTAAGGCTTCAATAAATTTGCGGGCAAGATGCTGTGATCAAAATAAAGGTTTTAACATAAGTCTCCCTGTGAGTGTGTAGATTCGTAACGTAGGTTTCTAAACGTTTAGTTTCATCAATGAATTCATTGGTACAGTTATGCAATTTTAAAAAAATTACTAAAATACTTCTAAACGACCATATCCACGTAACTCAATGGGCAGCAATGTTCTTCATGATCAGCAAATAGTTGACACACTCGTATTATTAGTCTTCTTATTATTAGTCCCGATATGTGCGTTATGTGTCTTGGTGGTTTTGTCTCCTTGTTCAACTCTTTGCGTTAAGCAGACGCCGAGGTTGGGCGTTCTTGGACCAATTTTTTTTTGTTTGTACCCTGCAGAGCGATGAGTGTGTGAGGGTGAGTGGGGGAGGGTCATACACACGGCTTCCTCGCTCTGTCTCGCTCGACGGCAGCAGCAGGCTCTTTTTACTGCTGGATGAGCTGAGTCCGCACGACGCTTGTCTTTGAAGGTGCTCGATCGCACTCGTTGCTCGTCCGCTGGCAGTACTCAACTTTGCGTTGACTTCGTAGACTCGTGGCTTCTGCTGATGCAGCTCGTTGATGATGTGTCAGTCACGGGGGCAGGTTCCCGGAGCCTGCCGATCGCAGCACTCTATTGTGTGTGTCGTGTCTCTGTTTTTATGTGAAATTCTCTCCCCTCGGCTCGCCTTCTCACAAAGGACCGGAACTTCCTTTGATTTCGTTCTTTGCTGTGGGGGAAGTTGTACGTGTTTATGTTCTGATGTATTAAGCAATCTGTTAAGTCTCACCCTGGCCTGGTTGCTGCCCCTCTCCTCGAGCCACCTTTTCATCTGTGGAAAACAGATGCTCCAAATTGCCCTTAGGTGTTTCCTATTTTTCAACTTTTGTAATAATTACTCTGGAGGGAGGGGTTCCTTTTCCCCGGTTGGATTCTTCCCCCCCCCCCTCCTTCCCTCGTGGCTGTGTTACATTATCTTGCCTCTCACGAAGTCTGTCTTTGTGATTGTATTGCTATCATGTGCTTCTGGAAGACAAAGGCGGTTGGGAGGCTTTCTCTATAGAATACATTTTATCTTGGTCATGTGTGATTGACCTATTTCGCCTTCTATCTCTTCTGGATGACCCTCGGTCTACTACTTCATAATTATTATTTGGTTTATGTTTCCCAAGATTTGTGATTTATCATCGTTATTACCCCATATGTTCCTATGGATGTATTAACCTTTGTTCCCCGTCTGTATCCAGGGATCCGTGCTGTTATACTCGAGTTATATTTTGATGTCCTGAGGTTAGAGATATAACTAAGTTTTCACTTAAGCTTTCTTGACTGCTGGAATCCATACTCTTTGATTCTTTTGGTAAAGTCACGTAGATAGGAAGATACAATAAGAAACAATATGTGAGGTGAATTGAGAGTAAAATAAGGCAATTGATAATTCAAGGCCACCCATGTGACTGCAGTCTGGTTTTTAATCTGGGTGTGTTGGCAGACTATGTCGACTTATTCTTGTCGCTAAGTTTCAAACTATTACCGTTGTTTTAAGAGAAATAAAAAAAACTATAGTATTTTAAAAAATTGCCTGTTGTCCTCGTGGCGCCTGCGGTCAATACGCTTTTGAGGTGGCCTTTGAAGCCGTGCAGGGATTTTCCCCAGAATCTCATTCGTAACCCCCCTCCCTCTCTCTTTTTTTTCGGGTTTTTTAAATTACTTTTTATGGCTACTTCCTTGTCTAGTCCTGAGTGTGAAAGGCAGCTGCTGTGTGAGGGGAGGGGGTTCGCATCACCCCCTTTTGCCCCAAGCGACACCGCGATTGATTATTCTTAATATCAATTTTGGGAAAAGGCCTATATATACAACAGGTCACGGATGTCAGAGGGAGGCATTATTTAGGGCCTTGTATGTGAGAAGGATCTTCAACTCCACTCGGAACCTGACTGGTAACCAATGTATAGACTCAAATACAGGGATAAATATGCTCAGCAACCGGTGTTCCAGTGTGAACTCTGGCAGCTACATTCTGCATGTGCTGGAGGTGGTTTAACAGATTTAGAGGGATGGTAGCTAATAATGTGATGCAAACATCGATGTGTGAAAAGAGAAATGCGTGAACCAGCTTCTTAAGGTCCATAAACGAAGTCCGATAACGAGAGAATGGGGTGCAATATGGCTTTAATTCTCAGGTCAAAGGCATCCTTAATGACCTTGTTAATGTGCGCTTTTAAGGTTAGTGGGGGGTCAAGGACAACACCAACGTTGCAAACAGACTGAGCAGCACCAACATTGTGGTCATTAATTAACACACTGACCGAGCCAGCCTTAGAAAATTGATGATGGGACACAACAAACAGTACCTCGGACTTATCAACTTTTAACTGAAGAAAGTTAGACTGCATTAATGGTCACAAGAGCAAATAACACGCAAGATGCTGCTGCATGGAGGGAGGATTCAACATTAATGTAAATTTGAGTGTCATCAGCGTGATAATGAAAACAAAGTCCAAGTTGGCATATGATATGGCCAAGTGGGGCCAAATATATCCAGAACAAACGTGGGCCAAGGAATAAACCCTGGGGAACACCACAAGGAACTGAACATGTGTCTGAATTTATCCCCCCCAGGCTGACAAACTGTTTATGCTCAAATAGGTCGGAAGTAAACCAGTGCAAAACAGTGCCAGAAACCTCCGTATAGCCTTCCAAAAGCTCGAGCAAAATGGAATGATCAATGGTGTCAAAGGCAGCACTCAGGTCCAAAAGGACAAGAATGCTAGGAATGCCTGCATCAGCAGCAACCAGCCAGTCATTGACAACCCTAACCAGAGCCGTTTCCATGCTGTGGCCAGACCTAAAACCAGACTGAAAAGGGTCGAAAATATAATTTACGAGCAAATTATGTTTAAGCTGTAAGCCTACTGAATGCTCAATGATATACGAGAGATGTCAGGTTGGAAATTGGACTATAATTACTGAGGATTTCTGAATCGAGGCCAGCCTTCTTAAGCCACAGCAGACTGGTCATGAGTGAAGAAAGCCGATGCAATATAACACAGCACCACCGCATTAACAAGCTAGGCCACAACCAAGGCGAGCTGGACACAAGCTGGTGGTTGGCCACCCACCCCCTCATGTGCCACATTGCCGGCCTTCATAGATGCTCGCTAACAGCACTTGCCCCAACAGTCTGTTACATAAAAGGTTTTTTTCGGGTTAGATCACGTAAATATGAATGTGTCGTTAAACTCGCCACCACCACCTGGCATTGCCAATCAAAATGTGTTTAATTCTAGATTTGAAGCTTTCGTGACTGCAAGGATTCACTCTTAGGTTTTTTCGGTAAAGTCACGTGGGTAAATAATAATAATAATACAATAAAATAATAATAAATTAAAATAACTAAATTAAATCACGTTTCGGAGGCAACACAAGTCTCCGTCTTCAGGTGGGACCGTCACAGCCAAATTGACTGTATCAAGTGAAAGGAAATCCAAGAGACAAGATCTTATATACTAGTTTCGGGGAGGGGGAGGAGCTTATCTAAATGTGGCAGTCATGGACTGCGGTGTTGGCTTCCAAAACCAAAAAATAGCAGCACTGTTAAACGCTGGGGATGTCAACTCGGTAAAATAGACTAGTACCTGTCAAATAAGATGGTACAAATATGCGTAGTTAAATCTTTTTTACATGGTTAATAACATATTTCCAATGATTGCTCAATGTGTACCCATCATCACGGTTGAAGTTATGTCTATGTTTGTATATCTGGATGGCTTCATGCACAAACCTTTGATGGTAGCTAGGTTTGCAGAGCACCTTGGTCTCGGAAAAGACAATATCATGAGCGCTCACAGCGTTGCAACAATGATCAGCAACGGCAGAAGAATCAGTTTTGCCGTGTTTCAGATATGACTTGTGCTCACGGACCCGATCAGAGACATGACGTTTCGTTTCCCCAATGTAACAATCACCACAGATGCAAGTCAGTTTATAGACTCCAGGGTATTGCAAGTCTGGAATGGCATCTTTCACAGATGGGATTAGATCACGGATTTTATGTACTGTACTGAATCGGACCTGGATCTTATGTTTGTTTAGAATTTTGGAGATCTTTTTGGTCACACCTGCTATGTATGGTAAGGTGATGGTTTTGATCGGAGAATGGGTTTGTCACGTAAACAAAAGGTGCCATATAGTTACTAGTTAAGCACTAACAGGTTGTGTGTTGGAGAATAAACCCACAACATTTGCAACTCGAGTAATGTGACGTTTTACCGGTAATTACAACCAGCCTTATCAGGTGACAGCCAGTTTTGTGAACAAATCTTCCTCCTGTTTCGGCCTTAAATAGAGGGCTGGGTGAATGATATGTCCTCACTTGTGAGCCAATCAGGTGGGAAGACCAAAGGCTGGATTGTGGTGGTGAATGTATATTTATATAAATTGCAATGGACCTCTTGTTATTGGTTGTGATAATCACAGCTAATCAACAAACATAATGTATGTACGTCATATATGTGTACCATATATGTGCGTTCAGCATGTGTATTATGTATTTGCATTATGCATGTGCATTCCGCATGCTCATTATGAATGTTAATTATGCACATATATTACACACACATTCTGCCGTTGTTTTTGTCTGTACGGGAGATATTTGTCTTTGTCCTAGTAAGTCTCTGCGTGTACCTTCCCGGCTCCTCACCGTTATCATCTTCCAAGACCACTTCGATCTCCGCCAATCCCGACGACGCCACCACAGTGGAACCGCGGTTGGTTGCGGGGCTCCAGAGAACTCCTCCGTCAGGATAAAGATTCACCTCGCACAGCATGCCAAAGTCATTCAGTTGGGGCTGCATTTTCGCCTTTTTAATCTGTGATTGTTTGCAATTGATATTAAAGTCTTTGTGTATTATGATCGTGTCCTCTCTACTAGCCTGCAGGTCCTCCATTTTAATCTGCTGTTGTTTGTAGTCAATAGTGACATCTTCTTCTTTAATGATGGGATCTTCTCTGCAAGCCTGCAAATCCTCCGTTTTAATCTGATGTTTTTTGCAATCAATATTAAGATCTTCCTCCTCTTGAATGATCTGATCTTCTCTGCAAGGCAGTAGGACCTCCGTTTTAATTTGACATCTTTTGCAATCGATATTAAGATCTTCCTCTTTAATGATCAGATCTTCTCTGCCAGCCTGTAAGTCCACTATTATAATTTTTATTGTTTTTTCAGTAGTCCCATCATCCTCTTCCTTCATATCAATCTTGGCTCTCTGACCTGGGAAATAAAACACTGCCATTGAGCAACGTGTGAATGATAAAACATTAATCAGGCATGGACCAACACGGTGGCTAGGAGATATTAACTACCTTGCCCGGTATGATGGAGGTTGTGGTTCGACTCCAACCCTGTGCTGGTTGCGTGAATTTTCTATGGGTCCTCCAGTTTTTGCCTCCACATTTAGAATCGACGTCACGTGTTTAGATTTTGTTTTTAAATGTTTGTGTTAGACCGTGTGAATATAAATGTGTCGTTAAACCTGCCATCACCCGACAGCCAATTAATAAGGGGTTGTCAAGTAAACAAAACGTGACAATTATCTACTAGTTCATCCCACCGGTGTGTTGGGGAGTGAACCCACATTTATAATTATGGAAAAAATATGGAAAATATTGGTCGCAAAAGCCTACATGTATTTAGATTATTTAGCTGCTATAAATTTGCACGTGATAATCCCCTTCGTTGAGCTATCATTTGAGGCCAACACCGGTGATAGTGATTATCTGAACCAGTCCTGTGCTTCCCCTATGTCAACTCAGCCTCAAATGAGTTACCTGGTGCAGTGGTGTGTAGTGAACATCGCCACTGGGGGGAAACAAAGGCGGCCGGGGCGTGGTGCTGGCCACCCACCCCCTTGTGTCCCACAGTCCCGGCCTTCATAGATGCTGCTACTCGTGACTAAAAGCACTTGCCCCCAACAGTCATTTATAGGATACACGGGGGATCTTCGTCTTTGGTGGAGGTGGTGGATGAGGTGGTGGTAATGGTGGCGGTGGTGGTGGAGATGGTGGTGGAGGTATTGGGGGTGGTGGTGGTAGTGGAGGTGGTTGTGGTGGAGGAGGTGGTAATGGTGGCGGTGATGGTGGTGGAGGTATTGGGGGTGGTGGTGGTAGTGGAGGTGGTTGTGGTGGAGGTGGTAATGGTGGTAGTGGTGGTTGCTGGTTACCCACTCTCTCCAGTGCCACAGTGCCGGTCTTCATAGGCACTGCTACTCGCTACTAACAACACTTGCCCCCAATGGTCTGACTGTTCAGGTTATAGGGGTGATCTTTGTTGTTGTGTCTTGTACAGAGAGTAGTATCTGTGTGATGAGCCTATGGGCCTCTGGACGAGTTCATTGGCCTCTCTGATGAGTCTTTGCGGTCAGTCTATGGCTCTGTGTGATGAGTCTATGGCCCATTTGTGTGATGAGTCTACGGGTCTCTGTATGGTGAGTTTACGGCTCACCCCCTCCAAGTGCTGTTTCCCATCCTGGGTGTTCTTCGACTTCCTGCTTGCTCACCGACCTTCTAGACATCCTCACTCCTCGCCTGTCAACACACAGAAGGCTCCTTCATGGTCACGGAGAATACAAAAATACAAGCCCCTACTTGATTACGTGGCCCAACTTACTGACGAGGTTTAACAATGACTTGAGCGCCACGGTGGCTAGGAGATGTTAACCTCGCCTGGTAGGCAGGAGTTCGTGGGTTCTATCCCAACCCTGACGCCTGCTGTATAGTATCACGGTGGCTAGGGGGATGTAAACTACCTGGCCTGGTATGCAGGAGCCACTGGGGAGCTTATGCAACGTTGAAATCATCTAGATTGACAAACTAATTTCTTTAGAACAGCTTGTTGTTGTGTTTAGTTGGTAGTCCTTTCTCCCCACACCTCCGATTATCGTGGTTGGCTACGTACGGTGGTGCGAAAGAAGTTCAACATACATACTCTACACACTACACTGCCATTCACTCCACTACTATACTATACACTACACCACTGTACAACATTGAGAACTAATTCCTTGAGAACTGCTTCTTGTTGATTATCTCGGTTGACTGCGTACGGTGCGAAAGAAGTTTAACAAACAAAAATCCCTCATATCGCCTGAACAGACTGAAGGAGCATGTGCTGTTCAACATATAAACAGACAACATTCATACATACAACATACACCAAACATGCAACGTACATATAACGTCCACACATACAACATAAACACAACATACATACACCATACATACATCATGCATACAACATACATAAAACACATGTACAACGTCCAACACAATATACACCATACATACAATATACATACACCATACATACACGAACCATACACAAACATGCAAACCACATACAACATACACTACCGTATTTTCTCGCATATAACCCACGGGGTATACCACTTTTTAAAAACAAGACCCTGCGGGGTATATGGAGGTGCGGGCTATCCCAAATTTTTTTACACGTGTGACGTCATAACTCGTTACATTTTTTCATGTTAGGCCTATCCACTATGCAACACTTACCTTTGACTAAAGCACTGCTGAATAAACCACTAACACTGCACATGTTATCACGTTTTAAATAATTGGAAATGTTTGTACAATGTTTACATTTGCCCGTAAACTAAACATATGGCGGTCAAACCCTAGATATGAATATAGCAGTAACCAAACGTAATGGCCTGTAAACAGCATAGAAAGTCTAATAATGACAAGACGGTACATTCAAACAAACTTTATCTTATTATAAATGATGCGGCGGCAGCCTGTTTGCTAAAAACTGTCCAAGTTACATATAAACATTAAAAAATAGCTAACATTAAAATTCAATGTTAATTTCAATATCCGCATCACTTCTGCTCAGTAGCAGACTCACTACCATTATCATGTTGTGCCCTCACCCACTTGACCAAGTTGTCTTCCAACTGTGGCCACTTTGCTTTCGGTCCTCGTCTTGCACGTTTTCGTGGATGCATTGCTTTCAGTTCAGCAATACTTTTCCTCCATTCACGAACAGACTTTTCGTCGACAGAAAACGCCTTTCCCGCAGCTCTGTTGCCTTCGTCTTCCGCAAATTTACAAACTTGAAGCTTGAAGGCAGCGGTGTACGACTTACGCTTTGGTGGCATTGTCGTAACTGTTATTTAAGTAATTAGAATTAACTACGGTATAGCGACTTTTAATTTTCTTGAAATACGCACGAAACAACAGCAAAAAAATGACACTCTGAAACGATGTTTGAAGTGGGCGCACTTTGTTTTAATACGTTCAGCGGCTGTAGGGGGTTGCGAAAGTTTCAGCTGAGGCTATGGATGGCACAATGGGAAGGGGCCTTAACAAGCGTCGAACAGACGTGGAATCATAATTGCAGAGTCCCTGAGGCCGCTGCTATTGTCTGAGCCCTATAGAGTCGCGACCACGAGCTTTGTTTCACACTTCCAGTGGCTTTGTTGCCAGGAGGCAATGGCGCAGTGCGCAATCTCCCAGTTCTAAAACTATACAAGGGTCACGAGCTGTCATATGATGAGGTCGAATGCTGGTAAGCCTCACAGTACGCTTACTTATCTACCAGTTATGTTACTAATTTATTGGATATTTACTTTTGTTACTTATTTACAGTTGTTTTTGTTCACTCGGTTCCGGTTAGTTTGTTTTCTTTGTACACGTTATGATTTTAATGTTAACAATTGATAGTGGAATGTATCACAAACGTATACTTTGTATTAATATGATGGGATTAAGCTGCGGTGACGACGCTAACGATATGAATGCATGCGGGGTATATGGAGGTGCGGGCTATTTGAAATGTTTTAAACAAAACGCGATTCTTGCGGGTTATGTGCGGGGAAATACAACACACGCATCACGACCAGTAGCAGCTTCGCATGGCTCCTCCGTGCAGGAGACGGAGCCGATGATGATGGTGGTGGTGATAATGTGCAGGCGAACGAAGCGGGGAGACTGATCCACCAATGTTAGTGAAGTATAAATAAATAATAAAGGACGGAACTCCAACGGACGACTAAATCCAGGTCAAAACGCGGCACTGAGGCTATGGAGGAAGAAGCCGCTGTCGCCAGCGGGCGGTTGTCGTCTTCCGTCTGGCCAGAGAGCCGAGCAGTGCCGGATGAAGCTCGCGGGGGGGGGGGGGCTGTAGGACATGTTATAAAGGGGCACTAAATTATAAAAAAAAAAATCACGTAAATATGAAAACTCATACATGTTTTTACTTGTATAGTAAAGTAATTGTATTTTTTTCATTTTCTATGGGGGGGCGTCCATAAATGACTTCACGCACCTGGGGGGGGGGTCAGACATTTGTGATGATGTGCGACGAGGGGGGGTTTGAGAAACATCACATCAAAATGCGCAACTTTAAATAAATATAGACAACACGTTCTACTTAATTAAATAGACTTGTTAATGTTTTCTCCTACATCAGAGTGCAGCGCCACATTAAATACGCACTACAATGACAATAGTTTAAAGCGATTTGAAGCATTTTTGGGGGGGGGGGGGCAGAGCTTTGTGACGTCATATTTGAGGGGGGTCTGACTTTTTGTGACGCCGTGTGACTAGGGGGGGGAAATCGTCCAAAATCGCGTGACGTCATTTATGAACGGCCCCATACAATCCGATACGACAAATCGCTAACAATAAACACCCAGTCGTTCTTAATAGTTGAAGGCAGTATAGTACTATAGCAATAGAGCAAGTGCAGAATCACTGATACCGGGATAGCTTGAAAGCATTTAGCGCGGGGCACTTGAAAGTGAGGGGTCCGTAGCATATGTAGCTACTTTTGCTACTGGGATGATCCAGTACTTGAGGCGAGTTTTGAAAACTATTGAGCCATTTAAACACTTGTTTTAAAACTTATTTAAACACTCCTTTGTTTTATTTTTTAAAAAATCTGTTTAAACTGTACATTTTCTACTTTCTGGCACGAATATGTCACTCGAAGCGCCATCGTAACATTAATAATTTTTAATGTTATAATTATTCATGTTACGAGTGTGTGGGTGGCAGGGTGAGTGAGTTTGTGTGTGTGGGTGAGTTTGACTTTGAGGGTGAGGAGCAGTGGTGTAGCTGTTAGCGCGCTGCGCTATGAACCCGGCGACCCGAGTTCGATTCCCGCTCACGGCCAACATCAGTGACGATTATCTGAACCGGTCCTGGGTCTCCCCTAGGTCGACTCAGCCTCAAATGAGTACCTGGTGCGGTGTGTAAACATTGCCACTGGGGAGACGAAGGCGGTCGGGCGTGGTGCTGGCCACCCACCCCCTCGTGTGCTGTTCCGGCCTTCATATGTGCTCGCTAACAGCACTTGCCCCTACAGTCTGGTACAGGCTATATGGGGGATCTTTGTTGTTGTACTCGTGAGTGCCCCGTGTGTGTACAACAGTGGTGACTCATTACCCCCTTCCGTCAAGCAAATCAGGACTCAAGGTAAGTAAAATTTGTTACTTAATTTTATGTTTTATTTACTAGTGTTTTTATTTTACAGTATTACATGCAAATGTACAATGTTTCCTTTATGTCGAATCATAACACACGTCATAACTCTGACCACATGGCCCATTTAAATACGGTGCATTGTTGCGTTCCGACTTACGAACCATTCCGACTTACGAACGGGGGTATCTTGGGAATTGCGTTCGTATGTCGAAGCCTGCCCTAAACACCCTGAACGACGGCCGATGATCCTATGCGGAGAATGGGTGGACGTGGGAAGCCTTTAAGTTCATTTCTCTCCCTATTTTTTCGCTCGCGATCTTTGTCATAACCCACTGCCTCTGCCTTGCCCGTGCCTCTGCCCTACCTCTGTCCTGCCCCTGTCCCTGCGTCGCCCCCGCCACTGGCTCCGCCTCTGGCCCCGCCCCTGGCTCCGGCTCTGGCCCCGCTCCTGCCGCCGGCTCTGCTCCTGCCCTCTTATCGCCGGCGGAATCCTTGGGTCATTTGTGCCAGCCGCTCTGCGCTCGGCGATTGGGAGACGGCGCTGCAGAACTCCTGCACGCAGCGCCACACCGTGGTGACGCTCACGCCGAATAGCTGCGCCGCGCCCTTGTAGCCAGCACCGCCGCCACCGCCGCCGCCGTTCGCCAGCTTCCACAAGGCCATGGCCACCCTCTTGTCGACGGGCACACACAGGCGGAAGGTCGTGTCGCGCCTCTGCAGCGCGGGCCCCAGGGCGCTGCAGATCCCGGCGAAGGCGTCGCGTGACAAGCCGAAGCTCCGGAGCCACTGGGCGTCCGTGAAGGAGCTCGCCTCCCGCTCCCACCAGTCGGAGGAGCGGACGTGCGTCCACACGGAAGCCCTGCGCTTGCGCTGGAACAGATAGTGCAGGATTCTCTGGGGGTGGGGCGGGAGCGGGTACGGGAGGAGGGAGGGATGACACAAACAAAATTTGATTGTCCGCGTTCATATTTTGATTTTTTTTCTACCCTTAAGCTTATATTAATAATCTAAAACACAGTTATACATTGTTATTCTAAAAATAAGGTTATTTTATTTATGACAGGAAACTAGAGCAGGAGGATTTCTCCACAATCCTGGCTAATTGCCTGATGAAACCTGGTGGTTGTTGTTGTGGTTGTTGTAGCTGTTGTAATCACACCGGCGGAACGTCATGGACCTGGATTTAATGCTGAACTCGTTAACTAAATTAGCCACGTTTTGTTTCCATGACAAACCCCTTACTGATTGGCCGTGTCGGGTGGTGGTGGCAGGTTAAAATGTATACAGTAGACTCTCGATTATCCGCTGTGCGGTTTATCCGATTTGCGGATTAACCGTGCGCCCGAGACTTTGACGTGCCTTTAAGCCCATTGTTGTACATTGTTATTCTTGGAAATGTTTCTTACCAAATCACGGTTCTTAAACTGAACAAATATGTTGCTCTGGTTAATACGAAATCTACATGATCACCACTACATTACAGTAGTTGGGTGCAGTTTGATTGATGTCGATTGGCTGCGGCTCTGCTATCATCCACTTCTGCTGGGCGGGAGCCAGGAAAGTATTATTATCACTGAGCATGCGCATCATTGATCGGTCAATCGTTAGTATTCGTTCCCCAATTTTCTTAACTTAAACATAATGCTGTTTTTGGTATAGAGATCCACGAGAAATGGTTATATTTTTGGATTATCCGTGATTTTGAATTATCCGCAGCAGTCCTCCGTCATAAGCGCAAATAATCTAGAGTCTTACTCTAAATAAAAGACAGAATGCGCTAAAGGCTACATTACGACGGTAATGGTGATGTACTTAGCGAATAGCTTTTACGCTTTCACACACAAAAAGAGAGGGCTCCAGACGCATGAGAAAAATACGTATTGTTACATTAATGCATATGCGCATCAATGTTATATGGAGTGGACAACAGCCCCACGTACCCGCAGAAGCACGTGACAGCCTCCTCCTCCCTCCTCCAGCAACAGCAAAGCAAATTTGGCCACCCGGCAAGCCCGGATTATAAACCATCATCACGCAAACTCCGCTCATCCTCACAGCAGCAGCGGCTTTTGGCTCGGCCATTGAACAAAAACGGTGGTCACCGCATCGCGCGGTGCTTCAAGATGTATATATGCTACACTACACACGACTATACACTACACCAGGGGTCCTCAAACTACGGCCCGCGGGCCACATGCGGCCCGCCGAGGACATTTATCCGGCCCGCCGGGTGTTTTTGCCGCCGCTGCCTGCCTGTTACTTTTTTTCTACATGAGAAGGACGGTCATTGGTGGAAGAGGGAGAGGGGGCGGAGTTTCCCCCAATCAGACTGCATTGATGGGCAGTGGAGTCTGTATGTCTCTGTGTGGGCAAAGTTATTGCTGGTATATTTTTTTTGTAGCGCTGTATATATATTGGTATTTTACTAATAGCAATTTTGACTCCCTAGGAAACAATGATGTCAAGAAAGAGAAAAATTGACTCGGAGTGTCGGATATTCAAACAACAGTGGACTTATGATTACTTTTTCATGCAGTACAAGGAAAGAGCTGTGTGTCTGATATGCCAGAATATAGTGTCTGTGTTCAAAGAATATAATTTACGTCGACACTATGAAACTCAACATAAAGATAAATATGCTTGTTTGGTCGGAGAAGTGAGAAAAGATAAAATATTAAAACTGAAAAATACATTAACAACTCAGCAAAATACTTTTGTGAAGCAGAAGCAGCTAAATATTTCATCACTGCGAGCAAGTTTTCAAGTTGCCAAGCTAATAGCATGCACTGGCAGACCATTCGTGGAGGGAGAATTTGTTAAAGAATGCCTTCTTTCTGTTGCCAAAGAGATGTGTCCAGAGAAGGCCGATTTATTTAGTACAGTGAGTATTTTAGGACCTACAATTACACGGAGGATTGAAGAAATGGGAGACAATTTGCATCAGCATTTGCAAAACTCCACAAAAAAACTTTCCTATTTTTCCTTGGCACTCGACGAAAGCAATGATGTTCGTGATTCTGCACAACTTCAAATTTTTTATTCGTGCGACGAATGACTATTTCGAAGTCACAGAAGAGCTTGCTGCACTGCAAAGCATCAAAGGAACAACTACATGAGAGGATATCTTTCGATTTAAAGCTTTCGTGACTGCAGGGATTCATCTTCTTGGTTCTTTCGGTAAAGTCACATATAAGGGAAGTAATAAAATAATTCTCACGACGTTTCGGCCACAACGCAAGCAGCCATCCTCAGGTGAAAACCAGGTCTGTCGGGGAGACAGCGTCTGAATGAAACAGCACACGAGCTTGGAGCATATATAAGCTGGGTTGGAAGCGGGGGAAAGAGCGCCTTGACAAAAGAATTTGCATATCAAGAGGAATTTAGCATATTTATAGGAAATGCAGGAATGTGATTAGTACTACATATGCCCGTGCTGCATATGTAGTACTAATAACATTCCTGCATTTCCCATAAATATGCTAAATTCCTCTTGATATGCAAATTATTTTGTCAAGGCGCTCTTTCCCCCGTTTCCAACCCAGCTTATATATGCTCCAAGCTCGTGTGCTGTTTCATTCAGACGCTGTCTCCCCGACAGACCTGGTTTTCACCTGAGGACGGCTGCTTGCGTTGTGGCCGAAACGTCGTGAGAATTATTTTATTATGTTTTATTTTTATTATTTTATTACTTCCCTTCTACGTGACTTTACCGAAAGAACCAAGAAGAGAGGATATCTATGAAAAGGTTTGCCAAACTGTGAATGGTTTGGAGCTGAACTGGGCTAAACTAGTCAGTGTGACAACTGATGGTGCTCCTAGCATGGTGGGGTCTAAGAAAGGAGTAATTGCTCGCATTAACCAAGAGATGGACAAACATAACCATTCTCAACCAATAGCCATACACTGCCTCATCCACCAACAAGCGCTGTGGAGTAAATCACTGAAGTGGGACTCGGTTATGAAATTTGTGGTATCTTGTGTTAACTTCATTAGAGCTCATGCACTAAACCACAGACAATTTCAGGCATTTCTGTCTGAGCTAAATGTTGACTATGAAGATGTTCTGTATCACACAGAAGTCCGTTGGCTGAGTCGAGGGAGAGTTTTGAAACGTTTCTATGACTTCCACAGATTACAGCTTTTCTGCTTTAAAAAAACAAAGAAGTACCAGAGCTCAATGATGCAGAATGGAAATGGCACCTTGCCTTTCTGACAGATGTAACAGAGCTACTCAACAGTTTCAATGTGCAACTTCAAGGAAAGGTGAAGCTCATCTGTGATATGCAATCACATGTCAAAGCATTTGAAGTAAAATTAGGCCTCCTCATCAAACAAGTGAAGGAGGAAAACTTCTGCCATCTCCCCACAACTCAAAATATGTTAGCGGAAAAACCATTGGTTGCATTCCCAAACAAAACGTGTGGATTCACTGGAAAAATTGCAAAAGGAGTTCCAATTTGGATTTAAAGAGCTTCATCTCCATGAACAGGACATACAGCTTTTCCGTAACCCATTTTCTATTGACATTGAAAATGTGGATACAATTTACCAAATGGAACTGGCTGAACTGCAGAATTGTGACTCTCTGAAAGACGCATTCAAATCAAGCAGCCTTCATAATTTCTATGCATCTCTCCCCTCTGAGACATATCCTCATCTCAGGAACCATGCACTCAAAATGGCAACCATCTTTGGCAGCACTTATGTCTGTGAACAGACTTTTTCCAGAATGAAACATTTGAAATCTCCAACCAGATCTAGACTAATGGATGCACACTTGCATCACTTGTTACGACTAGCAGTGACAAATATGGAACCGGACATTGACCATCTCATTAGCCAAAAGCAGGCCCATAGTTCCCATTGAAATACTGGCAAGTTTGTTGATTTAACTTTTACTTGTTCTTCATTTTAAATATTGTATTTGTTCCCGTTTTGTTTCTTCACTTCAAAATAAGATATATGCAGTGTGCATAGGAATTTGTTCATAGTTTTTTTTTAACTATAGTCCGGCCCTCCAACGGTCTGAGGGACAGTGAACTGGCCCTCTGTTTAAAAAGTTTGAGGACCCCTGCACTACACTATACACTACTATAAACTACACTATACACTACTATACACCACTACAATACACTACACTGCACTATACACTTCACTACTATACACTGCACACTATTATACACCACTACTATACACTTTACTACACACTACGCTACTATACACTATATAGTAGATGAGGTACACATTAATTTTTAACAAAGCAAATGCACTTACATCGCCTCCGAAGTGCTACGATACAATAATCACTTCGTTCTTCGCTGCGTTCCACGATCACCTCCAGCGACGTAGTTAGCATCTTCTAGCCACTGTGATACTATACAACAGGTGTCAAAGGGTCGAGATCGAACCCACGACCTCCTCCATACCAGGCGAGGTAGTTAACATCTCCTAGCCACCGTAATACTACAGTATGCCCGCGACCATACAAACAGGTCTGACCGAAAATAAATACAGTATAGCAAAAATAACGTGGAATAGTGTTATCGTTACTAGAGATAATGATAATAACTTCAACATAGCTGTCAACCCATACTGTTAACCCGTATTCTTGTACATGTAAATTGAGTTTTCAGGTCCATATGGCGTACAGCAAAAATAATTGTCTATTTGTTTGTGTTTCTACCTTGTGATGGGACTTTGTAGGATGAACGTTGAGATTTATAAGGGCACGGGGGTGGCCAATTAGGTCTGAATTGGTCTGTAATAAGATAGGCACTGATAAGGTATGGGACTGTGCTTTACCCCTTACATTAAAAAAATGGTTTGTTATTAGGTCTAAGGCCTCAATGAGCTATGTAGCTCTTTTTCAGAAGCGACCTGGCCATCACAAATTATAGCTGAACGAAGTGGGCTTATCATCATCACGTGGAAATGTATAGCAGCAGCCAAATACTCTAAACACGTGTTTCTAAATGTGAAGTGAAAAACTGGAGGACCTGGAGAAAAATCCACGCGGCCACGGAGAGAGAGACATGCAAATATACAGCAAGTGTTAGCGTCTGGACTGAACCCACGGCCTCCTGTATACCAGGCGAAGTAGTTAACGTCTCCTCGGTCACCGTGGCATTAGGGTCGGGATAAAACCCACAACCTCCTGTACACCAGGCGATGTCTCCTTGATGGCCGACAAAGCGGAGGATGCCCCTCACCCTTCTGGCCGCTCGCCGCCTGCCCAGTATCTCGTTCAGCCGATCCAAGCCACCGCCGCCGACGTCTCCTCCGCGGAACGCCACGGCCGTGTCCGCCGCCGCCGCCCTCCTCATCCGCGCGCGGTCGGCCCTCCGTCGCATCTCCGCCGCGCCCAGCAGCGCGCGCAGGACCAGCGCCAGGAAAAACACAAGCGCCACCTCCGGGTCCGAGATTCTCAAGGCGCTGGGCGCGACAACTCGCTCCTCCGCCTCCTCCTTCACCTCCTTCACCTCCTCCTCAGCACCACCACCACTGGTGGCAGCGTCGTCGTTGAAGCGCCTGTCCGTCCGTTCGTCGCCGGCCATCTCGGGGGCTCTCCCCAAAGTCCGCGGCGGAAGCGCAACGACGTGGCGCCTCCTGATCCTCACCGAGCGGCGGCTCCCTGCCGCGTCTCGGCCGTGGCTCGGAATGGAGACCGGGGCCCGGAGGTCGCCCCAGCGAGCCCGGAGGTCGCCTTGGGGAATCTGAAGGTCGCCCTGGTGGATTTGTATGTCTCCCTGGTGAATCCGAAGGTTGCCCTGACGACCCCAGAGGTCGCCCTGGCGACCCCGGAGGTCACTTTGGTAGATCCGAAGGTCGCCCCCCTGGTGAGCCCAGAGGTCGCCGCGGAGCTTCGAGCGGTGGAGTGGTGGCGCCCTCAGGCCGAACGTTCCCACAAACCCCTTCCTGGCCGTCTTAGTCGAGCGACTTCGGGGCATGGCATCATCGTCGTCATCGTCCGCCTCTTCTGTTGCTGCATCAGAAACGGAAGAGGCGTGTATTTTATTTTATTTATCTGTGGCACCTTTATTTGGTCAGTACCATCAAAATTATAAAATAAGTTTGTACCCTTTCTGGCAATAATAAAAACAGGAATTGTGTTAAGATGTTCAACATCAAATAGATCCCTGTTATTGCAAGGCATCATGACTTGTGGCAAAACATGCAAAGAAACATGCTCTGAAAATACTGTATAAGCATTGTCTTTGATACTGATCATCATCACCACCACCATCACCTCCGATTATCACGGTTGGCTACGTACAGTGAGAAAGATGTTCAACATACAAGCATCATCACAACAACCACCATCAAAACCACCACAACAACCATCATCGTCATCACCACCCACCATCACCTCCAATTATCACGGTTGGAAAGAAGTTAAAAGTACATACATAAAACCATCATCATCAAAACCATCATCACAAACACCACCATCATAATCACCACAACCAATTTCAATGTACACACACACACATCATCCGCACGTACGTACGTGTGCGAATACTCAGCTGCTCACATCCCCTGCAATCCCCTGCCTTCCCCTGCCACCCCCTGCCATCCTTCACCATCCCCTACCATCGTCGTCGTCCTCCTCCAGCACCACCTCGATCTCCGCCACGCGCGCCGAATCCACCCGGCCTCTTCCCGGTGAGAGCCACGACCCTCCCCCTGGCTCCACCACCGCCACAGAGGAGGAGGAGGAGCCATCGGCCACCATCAGGTGCTGGGTGACTTCTCCCTCGGTCTGGAAGTCCACCTCGATGATGTGAAGGTCCTCCTCTTTGACGGTCGGGTTGTCCTCTCCAGCAGTACCACCGCCAGCGCCAACAGCAGCAGTCGGTGGGCACCGGTCATCTTCCTCTTTGATCCGAATGGAAGCTGAGCGAAGTGCGAGAGACAAAGAGAGAGAGAGACAGACGGACGTCGCGTTGGGAGCGAGACGCGGTGCAGGGCCCGTGGAAACACGTCTAGCGGAGGCATTACCATCATGAAGCCATCCAGATATATAAACAGACACAATTTCAACCGAGAAGATGGGTACAAACTGAGCAATCATTGGAAGAATGTTATTAACCAGGTAAAGTCTTAACTGACTGTGATGTTTCCATCCTACCTGCAGATGTCAGCTGTTAATTCCGTATCTCTCAGTACATCACCAGGTTAAATGTCTTTACATTAACGGGCTAAGTGTCTCACTAATACAGCTACCGTTGCCCCTTTCCCTTCAGGATCGAACCCAAGACTTCCTGCATACCAGGCGAGGTAGTCAACATCTCCCTAGCCACCGTGTGGCGAGGGTCGGGATCGAACCCACGACCTCCTGCATACCAAGCGAGGTAGTTAACATCTCCCTAGCCACTGTGGCACCGATAGTTTAGCGGTTTTTACTTCTGCGAGTTTTGCGACAAAGTCTTGCCACTTGTCTCGTCTCAGGTTTCCTCTTGACATATCTAAAAACACGTCTCCGTCCCTGGCGGTGAGGCAGGACCCCCGCTCACCCTCACCGCTGCCGCGTGCCGTCACCTCAGCCCGCAGCTCCGCCCAGGGCGGCCTCTCTTCTTCGTTCTCTCGCTTGACGAACGCCTCCATCGGGCGCAGAGACGAAAACCCGGAGCCTTCCTGTGGCAACGCAATGACAACGTTCGGTGGGAGGAGGAACAGGAACAGGAAGGAACAGGGGGAGGAGGAACAGGGGGAGGAGGATCAGGAGATGAGGAACAGGGGGAGGAATGAACAGGGGGATGAGGAACAGGGGGAGGAGGATCAGGAGGAGATGAGGAACAGGGGGATGAGGAACAGGGGGAGGAGGAACAGGGGGATGAGGAAACAGGGGGAGGAAGGAACAGGGGGATGAGGAACAGGGGGATGAGGAACAGGAGGGGATGAGGAACAGGGGGAGGAAGGAACAGGGGGATGAGGAACAGGGGGATGAGGAACAGGGGGATGAGGATCAGGAGGGGATGAGGAACAGGGGGAGGAAGGAACAGGGGGATGAGGAACAGGGGGAGGAAGGAACAGGGGGATGAGGAACAGGGGGAGGAGGATCAGGGGGAGGAGGAACAGGGGGATGAGGAACAGGGGGATGAGGAACAGGGGGAGGAAGGAACAGGGGGATGAGGAACAGGGGGATGAGGAACAGGGGTAGGAGGAACAGGGGGATGAGGAACAGGGGGAGGAAGAAACAGGGGGATGAGGAACAGGGGGATGAGGAACAGGGGGAGGAGGATCAGGAGGGGATGAGGAACAGGGGAATGAGGAACAGGGGGAGGAGGATCAGGAGGGGATGAGGAACAGGGGGATGAGGAACAGGGGGAGGAAGAAACAGGGGGAGGAAGGAACAGGGGGATGAGGAACAGGGGTAGGAAGAACAGGGGGATGAGGAACAGGGGGAGGAAGAAACAGGGGGATGAGGAACAGGGGGATGAGGAACAGGGGGAGGAGGATCAGGAGGGGATGAGGAACAGGGGGATGAGGAACAGGGGGAGGAGGATCAGGAGGGGATGAGGAACAGGGGGATGAGGAACAGGGGGAGGAAGGAACAGGGGGAGGAAGGAACAGGGGGAGGAGGATCAGGAGGGGATGAGGAACAGGGGGAGGAAGGAACAGGGGGATGAGGAACAGGGGGATGAGGAACAGGGGGATGAGGAACAGGGAGAGGAAGGAACAGGGGGATGAGGAACAGGGGGAGGAAGGAACAGGGGGATGAGGAACAGGGGGATGAGGAACAGGGGGAGGAAGGAACAGGGGGATGAGGAACAGGGGGAGGAAGGAACAGGGGGATGAGGAACAGGGGGAGGAAGGAACAGGGGGATGAGGAACAGGGGGAGGAGGATCAGGGAGAGGAGGAACAGGGGGATGAGGAACAGGGGGATGAGGAACAGGGGGAGGAAGGAACAGGGGGATGAGGAACAGGGGGGTGAGGAACAGGGGGAGGAGGAACAGGGGGATGAGGAACAGGGGGAGGAAGGAACAGGGGGATGAGGAACAGGGGGATGAGGAACAGGGGGAGGAGGAACAGGAGGGGATGAGGAACAGGGGGATGAGGAACAGGGGGAGGAAGAAACAGGGGGATGAGGAACAGGGGGATGAGGAACAGGGGGAGGAAGGAACAGGGGGAGGAAGGAACAGGGGGAGGAGGATCAGGAGGGGGTGAGGAACAGGGGGAGGAAGGAACAGGGGGATGAGGAACAGGGGGATGAGGAACAGGGGGATGAGGAACAGAGGGAGGAGTAACAGGGGGAGGAGGAACAGGAGGAGATGAGGAACAGGGGGAGGAGCAGGAACACGAGGGAGGTCGCGACCTCGTGAGCTCCACGGCGAGAGGGCAAACCTGGAGCAGGGGGGAGCGGAGTCACCGCCCCGCGTCCAGCGCCCGGCACAAGAACGAGGAGAGCAGAGCGTGAAATATTTCATTTAAAAAGCGGTGGTGGGGGGGCACATCAAGCAAAGCATTGAAAAACAAACAAAAAAAGCGAAATGATGAACGAAGCAAAGTGCCGACTACATGGAGCATCTTCTTGTTTCCTCTGATCGGAGATGGGGGGGTGAGAGGGTAGCGTGGGGCGGCTAAACGCGGCGAGCAACGCGCTACTTGCACAGCGACTACAGAGACAAAGGTCCCCCGTGTAGCCTGGGCAGTCTGGAGGGGCAAGTGCTATTTAAAAGCCGGAACTGTGGACGAACGAGGGGGTGGGTGGGCCACGCCCGGCCGGCTTCTATCCCCCCAGTGGCGATGTTTACACGCCCACGCACCCACCCACTCACTCACCCATCCACCCACTCAACCACTCACCCACGCACGCATTAACCCACTCAAACACCCACCCATGCATCCACCCACCCACGCACGCACGCACCCACCCACGCACCCACCCACGCACGCATCCACCCACTCAACCACTCACCCACGCACCCACCCACTCACTCACCCACCCATTCATCCACCCACCCACGCACACACGCATCCACCCACTTGCCCACAAAGTCATTCACTCACGCAGTGGCGCGCTAACCGCTGCGCCACCGCTCCCATTGCTCCTCTCTCGCTCGCCCGCCTCCTCTGTTTGGTTGGATGGCGTCGTCGGCGTATTGGATTTGTTGTTGTTGATGTTTCCTGTGGATCGTTCTGACTACTCCTCATCGCTCCGTCTCATCCTGCAGGGAGATTCCCCTGCTCGGAGATCCGCTCCCTGCCACCGCCTCCTCCTCCTGCTACTGTTGTTCATCCTGCTACTGATCCTCCTGCTGCTCCTCTGCTCCGGCGGGGGAGGTGAGGTGGGGCGAGTGTTGGGGTTGAGGGGGGTTGAGGTAGGGGAGCTGTCCTCTACGGCTCCAGCCCTGGCTGGCTATTTAGAGGTGGCAACTTGTTGACTGTTCCTCCTTGTGTGATAGAATATTTATTTAGACTGCAGGAGGAGAACATCTGATGATCTATGAAGCTCTTTTATACATCGGCCAGAGAGAGAGGAGTGAACATCATTGTCTGGGCCGAGCCTTGCTGAGAAGGAGCGAATCATAATCGGTATTTTTATACTGCGGGAAGAAATCAGATGGTCTGTAAAGCTCTTCGTGCACCGTACGACCAGTAACTCCGGTGTGTGCTTATTAACAATGCCACTGCGTGGACTCCGGTGGAAGTAGCTGCCTAAAATATAAAAAAAAACTCACTAACAGATAGGAGGGAATTTGTATTTGATTTTTTACAATAATGTCTAATAGTGTATTGTATTACATTGCTCTGTTTTTCTTTTTTACCTTTTCTTGTTTCATTGTATGTAATGGCAGAGATTAGGGATTAATAAAGTACAACTATAACCACAATCATATAAACATAAATCTATGTTATAGCAATATATTGGGGGGACATTTTGAGCATATTTTAATATTGGGGGGGGGGATGTGTCACCCCCCCCCATATATATATTAATTATTTTACCAGGTGATGGTGGTGGTGGTGATGGTTTTGCTGGCCACCCACCCCCTCGTGTGCCACAGTGCCGGCCTTATTAGGCGCTGCTCACCACTAACACCACTTGCCCCAACAGTCTGTTGCAGGCTGCACGGGGTGGAGTGGAGATCTTTGCCATCTTTGGTAGTGGAGGTGGTGGTGCCAGTGGCCCCATCTCTTGCCCATGGAGCCGCTCATCGTTAAGCGAGAGGATGGAGAGGAGCCTGGCAGTGGCGAGTTGTGGATGAGGGTGAAGTTGGAGAGAGAAGACGCCGGTGACCGTGAGCGTGGTCTCTCTGCCTCTCGCGTCTCTTAAGTGGCCGCTGATGTGCCTGAAACCTGCATAGAGAATTGCGGATATTGAAGCGCTGGTGGTACGATAAAGATACAAAAAGTGTATAGTAGTGTAGTGTACAGTGTAGTAAATAGTAGTGTGGTGTATAGTGTAGTGTATATTAGTGTAATCTTTATTTGAAGCTTTCGTGACTGCTTGAGTCCATACTCTTTGGTTATTTCGGTAAAGTCACGGAGGTAGAAAAATTTAATAAAAAAATTTAATATCACAACGTTTCGATCGCAACACAAGCGGTCGTCCTCACGCGGAAAAAAATAAAAGTCGTGATTTGTGATTTGATCCCATCTGTGAAGGATGTTATTCCTGACATGCAATACCCTGGTGTCTACAAACTAAGTTGTGTCTGCAGCAGCACTTACATTGGGGAAACGAAACGACATGTCTCGGACCGTGTTCGCGAACACAAGGCAGATTTGAAACATGGCAGAACCAATACCTCTGCAGTGGCTGATCATTGTTATAACGCAGTGGGCTCGCACGACATTCTTTTTTCCGAGACCAAGGTACTCTGCAAACCTTCGGGCTTCCATAAAAGATTTGTCCATGAAGCCATCCAGATATATAAACACAAAGACAATTTCAACCGAGTAGATGGGTATAAGCTGAGCAATCATTGGAAGGACCTTATTAACCAAGCAAAGTTGTAACTTGCTGTGGTGCTTCCATTCTTCCCTGCCGTTTGGCTGTTATCTCCGACTCTCTGAGTTGCATTACCTTTTGGGTACCTCTGCATTAACGGGCTGGGGTCTCACTAACATGGCCACCTCTGCTCCCTTAGCCTCGATGTATCAATGGTTCTGGCTGTGTGACGGGCTGTGTGTCTCACTGGCGCAACCACCGTTGCGGTGGTTCTCTTGCGTGGACGCGCTTGCCTCACAGCGCAGTTGCCAGCGCCGCAGTTTGTGTTACACTTAGACATGACATTAACTTACTAATCCCCCTAATCTCCCTGCCTAATCTCTCCCATCAACATAGTGCTAATCTCCCATTAACACTGCTGTTGTGCGCATATGCGGGGACGGTGCTCTTGTGCGGCGACGGAAGCTCATTTCATGCTAATCTCTCTCCCTAATCTCCCCCATTAACACAACTGACGTGCTTGCGTCCGGAGATGGAATTCCTTTCCAGCTCAGACCCCGCCTGCTTGCCCATCACCACATATATAACCTTCTTGTTATAACAGCTCTCTCGCTGGTTCAGCAGTTCCACTGCTGGATTTCTTTTCCCACCTGAGAACGACCGCTTGTGTTGCGATCGAAACGTCGTGATATATACATTTTTATTTTATTTTTCTACCTATGTGACTTTACCGATAGAACCAAAGAGTATATTAGTGTAGCATATAGTAGTGTAGTGTACAGTGTAGTACATAGTGTAGTGTATAGTGTAATGTATAGTAATGTAGTGTATAGTAGTGTATAGTGCCGTATAGTGTAGTGTATAGTAGTGTAATGTGTAGTGCATAGTGTAGTGTATAGTAGTCGTGGGCTGAAGTAACTAATTTGCCCATCTTGTTTACGTGACAAAGCTTGCTGGCTGTGCCAGGTGGTGGAGGGCTACGACACATATGCCATTATAACCCAAAAACCTTTAGTATGAATAGTATTGGTAGCGAGAGCCCCCTACGTGTTAAACTTGGTAGGTTACTTCTTTGATTTGAAGCTTTCATGACTGCAGGAATTACTCTTTGGTTCTTTCGGTAAAGTCATGTAGAAAATAAATAAATTAAATAATAGAGTATGACGTTGCGTTTGCAACACAAGCAACCGTCATCAGGTAGAACTAAATTTGAGAGAAAGACAAAACACAGACACGGAGACACACAAGCAGAGAGAGACGACACAGAGAGAGAGAGAGACACACAGCACTCTCTGTGTGCCTGTGTTGTCTCTCTCTGCTTGTGTGTCTGTCTGTGTGTCTCCGTGTCTGTGTTTTGTCCTTAACTGGTAAAATAAAACATAGTTTAGTTCATTGCCCTGGGTGCGAAATAAAGGCATTATTCCGTATGCCCATGTGGATTTCGTGGCACGTTGGCACACTCAAAAGGTCTCAACAATTTCTCCCTTCAGTTCAGGAAGCCGACGCGGCGATTAAAGAAGAGGACATTGAGGCTGAAGAAGTGGGACTCTGCGTCAAAGAAGAAGAAGATCGAGATTATGATGACGACGACGACATCCAGGCTGAAGGGGGATTTGGGAGCAAGGCGACCGTTGGTGATAGTTTCACCATCGCCACCATCGCCACCACCGCCACCACCGCCACCGCGGTCAGACATGGAGAGTCCCGAGCACCGCGACAGGACTGGGCCGGCACTTCCCCGAGCGTGGCGGAGATCGAGGTGACCTTGGAGGACGACATTGAGGGTACGCGGTGGTGGGAGGGGACCGGCATGGGTTTGATGCCAGGTCGTTGCAGCAAGGGGTCTGTTGGCGCTGGCGGTAGAAGACTCCGTTTCGAGTAGCACGTGATTCATAATTGATATTCGGGTCAGAGATATTAACTACCTCGCCTGGTATGCAGGAGGTCGTGGGTTCCATCCCAAGCCTGATGCCTGCTGTATATTTTGAGTTTGCGTGTCTCTCTCGCTCTCTCACCCCATGGTCGCGTCGATTTTTCTCAGGGTCCTCCGGTTTTCCCCCGCACATTTATAATCGAAGTCACGCGTTTATACGAGCATTTGGCTACTGCTATAAATGTCCACGTGATGATGGTGATAAGCCCACATTGTTGAGTTGAGCTATTATTTGTGATGGCCGGGTTGCATCTGAAAACGAGATATATAGCTCAGGTGGGGCCTTACCTGGTAAAATTAAAATAGTAAAAATTGTAAATACAGGAGACCCTCGATTATCCGCGCTTGTGACAGGGAGGACGGCCGCGGATAATTCACAATTGCAAATAATAAAAAAAACCATCCAATTTCCAACAGATCTCTATGCCAAAAATCACTAATATAGGTCTAAGTTGAATGCTAACAATAGACCGATCGATGATGTGCATGCTCAGTGATCATAACACTTTCCTGCTCCTGTCGAGCAGAAGACTCGGCCCACTAAGTGGATGACAGCAGAGCCACAGCGAATTAACATCAATCAATCTGAGCCCACTGTTGTAAAGATATTGCAACTACTGTATTGTAGAGGCGAACACGTGGATTTCGGATTAACCAGAGCAACATATTTGTTCGGTTTAAGCACCGTGTGACTTGTTAATAAACATTTACAAGAATAGCAATGTATATCTGTTTTTAGATGACTAATTTGTGCTTAAGGGAAAATCCACGCGTTATTAATTCATGTAAAAATATCAGGTGCCGTGGTAAATCTGCAAATCGGATAAAACCGCACAGCGGATAATCGTGAGTCGACGACTCTACTTTGACCTCTGCTACTCTATTAGCCACTGTTCATTCTCAAACATTGCAACCCTTGTAACTGGTTCAGCCATCAGACTTATTAACATCCCCGCTCACGAACACCCGCACTTACGAACACCCGCACTTACGAACACCTGCACTTATAAACACCCGCACTTACGAACCAGCTTCCATGAAACATGTTTTTTTTTACTTCGACTAAAAACGAGAACTGGCATTTGCAAACTGAACCGCGGAACTCTTTTGTTCAGCGGAGCGATCCTCCTCCGAAAGATGTAATGAGTCAGCACCATGCTGGGAGTGTGTGCATGTGTGTGTAGTACATCCGCATGCACGTGTGTGAGTGAGCGTGTGCGGGAGCAGTAGTTGTAGTGGTTAGTACTAAGCTGCGCATGTGTGTAGTGCATCCGCGTGACTCCTACTCCCAGCCCCGCCCACTTCCCCCCCCCCCGGCATTTTGCCTTGCTCATCTTCTAATCTCTCCAGCAGCGCTCCACTCCCCCTATCCCACACCCCCCTCTCTATCTCTCCTCCCTTGCTCCTCCCCCCTCTTACCTATATAGCCTCTTGTTACGGCAGCCCTTTTGCCCACTTCAGCAATAGTTTCTTGCTGTGGTTGTACCACTTGATGATGGACACTTGTGTTTCGCCCGAAACGTCGTGATTTAATTTATTTTATACCTACGTGACTTTACCGAAAAAACCAAAGAGTATGGATCCCTGCAGTCACGAAAACTTCAAATCTAGATTAGCACTAAGCTGCGCAACTAAAGCGCCGATCCGAGTTAAATTCCCGCTCACGGCCAAAACCAGTGATGATTAACTGAACCGGTCCTCGGACTCCCCCAGATCCACTGCATCAAATGAGTACCCGGTACGATGCGTAAACATCACCACTGGAGAGACAAAGGCGGCCGGGCGTGGTGTTGGCCACCCACCCCCTCGTGTGCCGTGCCGGTCTTTATAGGTGTTCGCTAACAGCACTTGCCCCTACAGTCTGTCTTTGTCTTTTGTGTCTGTTTGTGTATGTCTGTGTGTGTGTTTGTCTGTGTGCGTGTCTGTGTGTGTATGTCTGTGGTGACTAATTGCGCCCCTTCCGACAAGCAAGCCAGCATCAGGACTCAAGGTAAGTAAATTTAAAAGATTTTTTTTTCTATTTATGTCATTTTATTTTATAGTTGATTTACTATACAGTGTTTATTACAGTACTACATGCAAATGTACAATATGTATTCCTATAATGAGTTTAACAACGTCTTCTTGGTTCTTTCGGTAAAGTCACGTAGAAGGGAAGTAATAAAATAATAAAAATAAAACATAATAAAACAATTCTCACGACGTTTCGGCCACAACGCAAGCAGCCGTCCTCAGGTGAAGAATGAGACAATGCCAAGCTAGGAGCTTATATATAAGCTGCGTTGGAGGTGGAAGAAAGAGCGCCTTAACAAAGGAACGTGCATATGAAGAGGAATTTAGCATATACATGGAAAATGCGTAGGAGGTGGGCGGGGGGGTTTCAAAGTCATATTATGCCCATGCATTATTCAGGTGCTGTTGATCCTGCATAATCCATGTATATGCTAAATTCCTCTTCATATGCACGTTCCTTTGTTAAGGCGCTCTTTCTTCCACCTCCAACGCAGCTTATATATAAGCTCCTAGCTTGGCATTGTCTCATTCTTCACCTGAGGACGGCTGCTTGCGTTGTGGCCGAAACGTCGTGAGAATTGTTTTATTATGTTTTATTTTTATTATTTTATTACTTCCCTTCTACGTGACTTTACCGAAAGAACCAAGAAGATGAATCCCTGCAGTCACGAAAGCTTTAAATCGAAGTTTAACAACGCTTCTCCTGTGTTGAACCGTAACACATTTCATAACACTGACTCAAGGGCATTTAAATAGGTATATTATTGTGCTGCGACTCACAAACCGCTCCGAATTACCAAATGTCCTGACTTACAAACTGTCCCGACTTACCAACCGTCCCGACTTGTGAACTGTCCTGACTTACGTACTGGGTCTCAGGATTGCCCCTATTTATTTAGACTGCAGGAGGAGGAATCCAATGAGCTATAAAGCTCTTTTTCAAAGATGCCCAGCAGGCGCACGGGAGTCAGAACGTTACAACAACGATAAACACAATATTCACAAACGCGATAGGAGTGCAAAGTATAGGAAAGGTAAACCAATCACTTAAAAAATATATGCAAATAAAACTTAACTATTTTTTTTTATCTTACCAGGTAAAGCCCACTGGGCTATTCACTTCTTTTTCAAAAGCAACCCGGCCATCACAAATGATAGCTCAGCGAAGTGGCCGATATCATCATCGTGTCGAGATTTATAGCAGCAGCCAAATACTCTAAACGCATGATCTTCATTCTACACTCACAGTCTCATATAGAATCAGAGACCCATACTCATATAGAACCAGAGACCTACAGAGATCCATAGAGAATCGTACTCATCGAGACCCATGCTAAAACTAAACTATAATTTTATCTTATCAGAAGTGATCTGGCCAACCATCACAAATGATCGCACAAAATAGCTTAATAGTTCGGTCTTCAGTCGTTTTTCTGCGCAACAGCGAGGAGGTAACGAATTCACTCCACTGCATCGGTCCCCTCCCACCCCCCTGGTAGCACCGGACGCCGCGCTGGGCCGACGTTCGAGGGACGGCGGCGGCGGCCGAGGCGGCGGCGTGCCGGCGGCCCGGCACGCTTGCTCGCTGTGCGGCAGGAGCTTCGTGCGCCCATCGGCCCTCAAGAGCCACACGATGACGCACACGGGCGAGCGGCCGCACGGGTGCCCCGTGTGCGCCAAGCGCTTCGCCCACCCCTCCGACCTGAGGATCCACGCGAGGATCCACACGGGCGAGCGGCCGCACGCCTGCCCCGACTGCTCCAAGGTCTTCGTGCAGTCCTCCAACCTCAGGAGCCACATGAGGATCCACACGGGCGAGCGGCCGCACGCCTGTCACGCGTGCGGCAAGCGCTACATTCACCCGTCGGAGCTCAGGAGCCACGCGAGGACACACACGGGCGAGCGGCCGCACGTCTGCGGCGTGTGCGGCAAGGGCTTCCTGCAGTCGTCGAACCTCAAGAGCCACGCGAGAATCCACACGGGCGAGCGGCCGCACGTCTGCACCGTGTGCGGCAAGGGCTTCATGCAGTCGTCGACGCTCAAGAGCCACGCGATCACGCACACTGACGACCGGCCGTTCCGGTGCGCCGTGTGTGACCGGAGCTTCAGGCGCCCGTCGGTTCTCAAGAGCCACCTGCTGGCGCACGCCGGCGGACGGCGCCCATTGCTCGAGCGCTCCGTGCACGGCAGAGGGCTCTCGAGCGCAACACGCACCTCGGGGGTGCACGCGGGGACCCATGGCAGAGGGAGCGCCAGGACGCCCCCCAGTTGTTGAGCCTCGCATCAAGAATCGTTGCAATCGGGAATCTTTTGTTTAGACTGACGGGGAGGAGAGTGTGGAAGAATTTGATGAGCATTGAAGCGCTTTTTTCACCAATGTCCACTATGGGCACGGGCTTCAGCAAAATTACAAATCTGTAAATGTTAAATAACAACAAGCGACATCACCACAGCGCCTGTGCCAGGCCGTGTGCACTTTAAGGCCACGTGAAGTGTCGAACGCCCAATGGCATGGAGCTCATGGGACAGACCCAGCAGGTGCCACAGGTCGACTGAGACGACTGGCGGATTCACCACCTGTGCCCCCTACTGTGCCAATTTGCTGCGTTTTAGCCACCCGTCGCTCCGCTCGTTGTTGTGAGCATCGCTCCCTCTGTCCTTCATTATTGCTGGAGGACAGCTGCCTCCAACTGCCCAGTAGCAGCGTCCTTCACGAGCCTCCTCCACAGATACCGATCTTGACACCGCTTGGGCCAAGTAATTGGCAAGTTCACTCAGCTACACATCCGCTTGTACCACATCACTCCATCTCTTCTCTAGCCCGTACCGCACCCATTTAGCCCTCTTTATCCGGTCACTGGTTCTTCAGGCTCTGCAGATGTAGATGCCACTGGTTCTTAACGCGCTGCAGATGTAGACGTCACTGATTCTTCATGTTCTGCAAATGTAGATGCTAATTCATTTTGGTGCTCGTATTTCCTCTCTACTTTCTTGAAAAACTTACAAAGTTGCTCTCTTATCTTCATAAATCAACTTGTAACAGGCAGTATCATCATGAACAGCTGCCGACACCTTAGTAAACCTTTCATTGTTTGGGTCCTGAGATTCAAAATAAGCCAGTGCTTGATACACGAACAACCACCACCATCTATTGTGCGGCGGTTGAACTTACAACTCTCGGTCCGAACAGCTGCAACTGGACCATATGGGGGACAGGTTTGTTCATATCTCTGCAAGTTCATAAGTTGAACGTTCACTAAGTAGAGGGGGTCCCCGAACTCGCAACACGATCGGAATGCGAAACTACAGGAAAGGAAACGTGAGCAAATCGCGAACACAAGAAAAATGGAAAATCCAAACCATGTTTTACTCCACCGGCTAAAGTCCACTGAGCTAATCGCCTCTTGGCGTCACACCTTCACCGCAGGATTGCTCGTCATCGATTCACGAGGGAGGGAGGTGAGGGAGGGGGGCAGAGGCTTCATACCGCCGCTGTGATGTTCGCCGCCTGAACTTCGTCGGTCAAACTTAACGTGGCACCTTGTCAGTCGCCGCACCCCCCCCCCCTTTCCCCGTGTCCAAGACGTCTCTGGCAGGTTTGTCAGTTTAACACGTAGGCTTTCGCGAACAATATCCATAATACAGGTTTTTTGTGTTAGGTTGCATAAATATATATAAGGCTGGCTGTCGTCTGATGAAGCTAGTTGTAATTACTGGTGAAACGTTGTACTCAGATTTTAAATGGTTTTTTTTTGTTAGATCGCGCAAATATATGAACGTGTCACTCATACAATCGCCACCACCCGACACAGCCAACTAGTAAGGGTTGTCACGCAAACAGAACGTGGCAATTCGTCACTAGTACAGCACACCGGTGTGTTAGAAAGCCAAGCCACAACATCTTTGATTTTGTCCTTCCTGTCTATTTTGTGTATTAAAATAGCTGTACTAATGGTAATCCCTACTAAAGTATGCTGCCCTTTACAGGCATGCATTTAAATCATGTATTATTTGATGATTCGCTTTCGCTTCCACGCAGCACTAAGACGGTAACTATCCAAACAGTTAAAATTATTTGTATTTCTTTCAATTTCGATAGATTCTCTAATTAGTCTTGGCCAGTAGTAGCTAGTTTTGCACAAAACTTCAACATTATCAAAATCAATTGAGTGTCCTTGTTGGCACGCGTGTTCTGCTACTGCTGACAGTTGTATTTGGGAGAAGTGTGGTCACCACATCTACACCTCTATATAAGGAACGAAACAGGCGGACTTCTCCACAAATCTGGCTGTCGCCTGATGAAGCTAGTTGTAATTACTGGTGAAACGCTGTACTCGGATTGTAAATGTGGCTTGGCTCTCCAACCCACCGATGTGCTGTACTGGTGACGAATTGGCATGTTCTGTTTACGTGACAACCCTTTTAGAATCAACGTCACCACGCATTTGGAGAGTATTTGGCTGCTGCTTTCCATTTCCACATGATGATGATAAGCCCCATTTCACTGAGCTATCATCTCGTGTGGCCAGGGCCGCTTCTGAAAAAGAGCCCAGTGGGGGGAGGCCCTTACACCTGGTAACATTTTTTTTTATATTTTAGTTTGTGACTCAGGTGGAAATGTGGTAGTTTTCTTGCGTGGACGTTGGAGTGGTTGCCTTTTCATGTCCGGTCTTTTCTATCAATCCATCATCCCGATCTGTGCTCTTGACTGGATATACGGAAATCGCTCGCCACACCGCGCGGGAACCGGAAATTGTCATTAGGCTCCTGGGAAAAAGCCGCGGGTAGGCAAATTTGTGGCTGGCGAAGTTACAGGGCGCCGATGGGAAGTTTGGGGGGGGGGGGTTAGGGGAACCACAGCCGTGGGTCAGACTCTTCGTAGCTGAACTAAGTTAGTTTAACACACACTAGTAGTTGTCGGGCTTTTGCGACCAACATCCATTTCATTTGGGTTAGATGACCGAAATTATAAACGTGTCTTTAAACCCGCCACCATCCGACAGGGCCAATTAGTTCAGGGGTTTGTCATGTAAACACAACGTGGCCAATTAGTTACGAGTAGAGCACTAACCGGTTGTGTGTCGGAGAGTAAACCCACAACATTTACAATTCGCAATTTACCTGCCTTTTTCTTCACTAAACACCGAATAAAATGCACACACAAACATAACACAACATAAGTAAAACACATTACGTGAACTTTACACACCTTTAATATTAACGATGATGGCGATGGCGATGAGATGATGGTGGGAAGGCCTGGTTAGAAGGAGTAAGGAGAAGAGAGGAGGGAGGCTCAGCCCACACTCACCCTCCGGTGCCACAGCACTCACCCTCACGATTAAGAGTGAAACATGTATCTGTTTCCGGAAACCGGAAGCAAAAAAATTAATATCTTTGAAAAATAAGAATTCGTTTTGAATCTTTCTGGCAATAATACAACGGGAGATGACACCTTTTGCGAGGCATCAAGTCTGCATTGACCACACGCAGTACTTGTGCAAAACATGCAAACCAACATGGCTCTGATAAAAAGGTCTCACAGATAAACTTCGTCGGGACATCACTTCATTCATGGTGACACGCAATACAATGTCGTGCCGCGGTGATGCAATGATGTATAACAATACAATGTCATGTTGACTTCTTCCTTAACACTGTGTTCACCCGTGGATACTCAAGTTTCCAGGCCAAATTTTGGTAAATCGGTACAGAGATAATGAAACCGTGCGTGCACAAAACCGCGGTCCGCAAGTCCACGGTTTGGAGAGGGATTCCTGTAAATCGGTCCTATATTAATCCGTCATCCGGATATGTGCTTTTGACTGGCTAACGAAATGTAACATCATACTGTAAAATGTCGATATTCATACATACATCATTATCCAAGAGCAACTATCTGCCTCGCCTGGTATGCAGGAGGTCGTGCATGGGTTCGATCCCAACCCTGACGCCTGTTGTATATTTGGAGTTTGCGTGTCTCTCTCTCTCCCCATGGTCTAGTGGATTTTTTTTCCGGGTCTTTCGGTTGATCCCTCCACATTTAGAATCGACATGCGCTTAAGAGTATTTAGATGCTGCTATACATTCCCACGTGATAAGCCCACTTCGTGGGGCTATTATTTTTTATAGCCAGGTCGGTTCTGATAAAAAAAGAGCTACACAGCTCAGTGTGGCCTTATGCCTGGCGAAATAAATAGTTAAGTTTTAGTTTTTAGTTAGAGACACATAAGCTAATGCTGTTGCTGGAATGGTCAATTGGTTAAGCCTTTGCACTTTTATCTTTGAGTTATTATAGAATGGTCAAGCACTGCTTTTTCAGTTTAACACGTAATAGGGCTTTTCACAACATATATCAACAATAGAGGTGGTTTAAATTTTGGGTTAGATAGCATAAACATATAAACGTGTCGTGAGAACTTCCTGGGAGGGGGGCGGTGGCGGCTTTAACGACGCATATTTAAAAATAATAGGATTTTACCCTTTCTATAAATAAAAGAGGCGTTAAGATGTTCTAACACCAATTATGGGAGACTCTCGATTGTCCGCGTGGGGTTTATCCAATTTGTGGATTAACCGCGCACCTGTGATGTTGATGTGAATTAATAACCCATGGATTTTCCATTACAGCTGTACATCGTTATTCTTGGAAACGTGTATTACACGTCACGTGTTTAAACCGAAAAAACATGTTGCTCTGGTTTTAATCCGAAATCCGCGTGATCGCCACTACAGTGCAGTAGTTGCAATGTATTTACAAGTGGGTGGAGTTTCGATTTAAAGCTTTCGTGACTGCAGGGATTCATCTTCTTGGTTCTTTCGGTAAAGTCACGTAGAAGGGAAATAATAAAATAATAAAACTAAAACATAATAAAATACAATCATACGCATTCCACAAATAGTGACTAATCCCATACTGTATCTGCATTTTCCATAAATATGCTAAATTCCTCTGTTGATATGCAAATTCCTCCCCTAACCCAGCTTAAATATACGCTGCCAAGCTTGGTGGTGTTCATTCAGACGCTATCTTTCCGACAGACCTGTTCTTCACCCGAGGACGGCTGTTTGCGTTGTGGCCGAAACGTCGTGAGAATTGTATTTTATTGTTTAATTTTTATTATTTTATTATTTCCCTTCTACATGACTTTACTGAAAGAACCAAGAAGAAGTGGGTAGAGTTTGATTGATGTTGATTGGCTGTGGCTCTGCTATCATCCACTTAGTGGGCCGAGCCTTCTGCTGAGCGGGAGAAGGAAAGTGCCATCACTGAGCATGTGCATTATCAATCGGTCGACCGTTAGTTTTTGGCATAGAGATCCGTAGAAAATTGATATTTTTGGATTATCTGTGATTCTGAATTATCCTCGCCCGTTCTCCCCATCACTAGCGTGGATAATCAAGAGTCTACTGTAGATACCTTTTGCAAGGCATCTCTGACGCATGGTACTCGATTGGTAAATGTTGTGGGTTTACTCTGCAACACTCAACCAGTTAGTGCTGAACTAGTAACGAACTGGCGTCACTCAACCTTGCAACTTCCTTCAGCCTTCACTTCACTAACAAGCTGGCCACTATTGCGAACTCCATCAAGTAATCCCTCACCATATCGCTGTTCATACGTCAACACCCTGCCCCCCCCTACCCCGACTCTTTTCTTGTCCTCATTCACACCAGTTTCTTCAAATAATGTATTGGCCCTAATCCGTTCATTCCACATCAAGACATCTTCTCTGGATATTCTCCCTGGCCGTCTGTTCGACCGCTGCATCATGGAACTTGAAAACATTATTACCAACATTGCTCATGCCTCATTTTCCACTGGTTGTTTTCCCCCTGCCTTAAAGGTCGCCCAAGTTTCCCTGCTGCTCAAAAAACCTGGCTGGGACCCTGCTGACCTGCCTAACTATCGTCGGATCACCAACCTCACTACTCCCTCCAAACTTCTCGAGCATCTCGTCCTCGCCCAACTCAAGCCTCAGATTACATCCGCGCCGAATTTCTGCCCCCTTCAATCGGCTTATCTCAAGTATTATTCAACAGAGACCGCTCTGACTAGGATCCTGGACGACATCCTTTCCATTATCTATTCCGGTTCCATTGCTTGACTCGTCAGCCTTGACATTTGCTCAGCCTTCCACACCCTGTGAACCACATATGCCTAATCAATCGCCTTGAGTCAGACTTCGGGATCAGCGGGACTGCACCAAAGTGGATTTCCTCATTTCCCTCCGGCAGATGTTTCACCGTCAAAGTGAAAGCCACTCATTCTAGCGCAATTCCCTTAACATGCGGAGTACCTCTGAGCTCAGTCCTGGGCCCCCTGCTGTTTTATTCCTATTCATCTCCCATTGGCCGATTGATCGACAGCTTTGACATCCGCTACCACTCCTATGCTAACGACACTTCTCAGCGCCTCCATTAATTCTCACAGCAACTCGGGTATCCACCATCTTTCCATTTGCTCGGCCGCATTACATTACTGGTTTCAAGATCACGTCCTCTCCCTAAAGTAGTAGTAATAGGTTTTTACCCTTTTAACTGGTACAAAATCTGACACCATTATACAAGGCATCATGTTTGCAATAACCTCAACACAAGTAGTCAAAATGCAAACAAAAAGAAACAACTCTGATGATGATAATGATATGCACTGTCCTTGAAGTTGATTGGTCCACACCCGAGACAGCTTTCTTTAGGCCAGGGGTCGGCAACCAAAATAACAAGAAGAGCCATTTCTTTCCAATTCGGTACAAAATTCAGTATTTCAAGAGCCGCAATGCATCTGAGTACATACGTACTCATCGTCAAGAAGCAGCCCGTAAAGAGCCGCATGCGGCTCTGGAGCCGTAGGTTGCCGACCCCTGCTTTAGGCTCTAAGCTTTCTTTAGGCTCTAAAGAAAGCTGTCTCGGGTGTGGACCAATCAACTTCAAGGACAGTGCATATCATTATCATCATCAGAGTTGTTTCTTTTTGTTTGCATTTTGACTACTTGTGTTGAGGTTATTGCAAACATGATGCCTTGTATAAAGGTGTCAGATTTTGTACCAGTTAAAAGGGTAAAAACCTATTACTATGTTTTGCCACTGGTAAAGGAGATCTCATAGTGTAAATCCTCTCCCTAAACTCTACCAAATCCGAGGCCATCTTAATTGGCACTAGGCAAAGACTGGCTTCACTCCCACTCCCCTCGGGAATCTCAATCGCTGGTTCCTTCGTTGCGTTCCCTGACCATCTAACATTTCTCAGCATCACTATGGATCCCACTCTATCCTTCAACCTTGTTCTCAAGTCCTGCAACTACCATCTCAGAGCTGTCCACCATCTACGTCCGCTCATCACCTCCAACATCACAAATACTCTCGCCTGCAGCATCGTTGGGTCGTGGGTTGACTTGTAACTCATTCCTCATCCGGTCCACTCTAAGCAACCAAAATAAGCTGCATGCCTCCAAAATCACATTTCCCGAGTTGTCCATGGCCCCCGCAACCTTCGCCCCGAACTCCCTGTCCATCCCTCCTGCCCGTTATTGGCTGCCCATTTCAACCAGAATTACCTTCAAGATCGCTTACCTCTGCTACCATCCCCAAGAATCCGTATACCTAAGTTCTCTGCTGATACCTTACACTTCAATTAACCATTGAAACCTTCACAGTGCATCACAGAACCTCCTTGAAACTCCCAGGACAAGGACTGTAATTGCATCTCGTCATTTCTCTGTCACAGCCCCCATCATCTGGAATGTCATCCCTATTCACATTCATAAAAATCAATCATTTTCTCCATTCAAAAACATCTAAAGGCATATCTCTTCAGCTCAACATTTAACAGAGTCTCCCTGGAACCGCGTGACATGATCTGACACTGAGCTCGGCTCCGCGCCTTAGAATTGCCTCGTAATTCTGCAACATTGCGCACGTTATGAATTGTATTATTGGCCACGTTTTTTGTTTACGTAACAAAACCTTAACTAATTGGCTGCGCCAGGTGGCGGCAGATTTAACGACACATTTCCGCAATCCAACCCAAAAACCTCTATTATAGCTTTGACACATACTTCCGCAATCTAACAGCCCAACAACAAAAACAACCACACATTTTTACAACCCCTCTATTACGGACAACAGTTTGTCACCGCCCCTAAGACATTCCCTTTCCCGACCTGCGGAAAAACTACCCCACCCCCTCTTCCGACGCTCGTGCCCAGCGCCCCCACGGCCCCTTCTCGCCCACTGTGCCTAGCCGCCACGTGCGCCTTGAGGACCGACGACTGCACGAAGGCCTTGGCGCACAGCTGGCACCGGTACGGCCTCTCCCCGCCGTGCACCATTGCGTGGTACTTGAGCGACGTCGAGTACTTGAAGGCGGCACTGCACAGTGCGCACGCGTATGGCCTCTCGTCGGAGTGCCTCCGCATGTGCACCCTGAGGTCGGACGGGCGCACGCATGCCTTGCCGCACTCGGTGCACCGGTGGGGCCTCTCGCCCGTGTGCGTCATTGTGTGGCTCCTGAGCTCGCAGGGCCGCGCGTAGCCCCGGCCGCACACGGCGCACCGGTGGGGGCCGTCGCCGCTGTCGCCGTGCGTCCTCGCGTGGCTCTTGAGCTGCGATGGCTGCGCGAAGCGGCGGCCGCACGTGGAGCACGCATGTGGCCTCTCGCCCGTGTGCGTCCTTGCGTGGCACCGCAGGTTCGAGGGGCAAGCGAAGCCGCGGCCGCACACTGGGCAAACGTGCGACTTCTCCCGGCTGTGGCTCTTCGCGTGCGCCCGCAGGAGGTAGTCGCGGGCGAAGCGTTTGCCGCACGAGGGGCACGTGTGCGCGGCCAGGTCGCCGCTGCCGACCCGTCGCGCCCATCCGTCGCCCGCCGCTAGTCCTGCGTTGGGGATTAGAAGGAATGGTCTTTAAAGTTTCACCCTTGTCCAGTTTTTTCATTTCGCCCGCGTGCTGCTTGTGAGTGAAACACGTGCGTCTGTGTGCAGTTTTTGTGTTCTATTGTATCTGTATATTTATATGTGTCCTCGTGTCTCTGTGGTGTTTGTGTGTCTGTGTGCGTGTGTTCGTGTCTGTGTATGTTTATGTGTGTATTGTTACGTTTTTAATGTATTGTATGGTGTACAGTAGTGTGCGGTTCAGCCTAGTGTGGATTACTGTATAGTGTTCAGTCACATGGTGTACTTTAGCGTGTGGTGTACTGTAGGATGTGTGGTGTACTGTAGCGCAGTGTAGCGTGTATGTACTTTATATTGTGGTGTACTACAATGTGTAAAGTGTGTACAGTGCCGTGCGCGTGGTATGCGTTTGATGAGGCTGTGTGGGTAGGTGGTGCAGGCTATGTGTGTGTGGGCCGTGGTGGTGTGAGTGTGAGTGGGGAGTGTGTATGTAGCTAGGTCAGTGCGTGTGAGGTGCTGGTAACCCTTCCACTTGGCACTTCTACCAAACATCACGGTGGAAACACCAAAATAAGCTCATGCTAGAGGCATCAGGGGGACAGGTGTTCATCATGCCTTCTGGCCAAACTCCATCTGGCAGCGCCAGACTGAGCCCGCCTCACGGGGTTCCTCCAGGAATAGGAGACCACTGAGATTAGCCACGTGAAATGTTCGGACTGTCGTTGTGGAGGAAAGGCTGCCACTCCTCAGTCGGAAGATGAATCGATGCCGCCTGGACCTCTGGAATACAGGAGGTCCGGTCGACCGGTTCTGGCTCTAGTCATCATGAGGGGTGGACACATCTCCACTCGGGGCAGGAAACTGCCAAATAACAGGGAGGGGGGTGTAGGAGCGTGACGATGAGGTGTGGGAAGCTGCAAGTCCCAGGCGACTGTAGGCTTGGCTCCCCATCAACAAGAGCCGAGGAATTATGGTGTTGGTTTCTTACGCTCCCACTAAAGATGAATATCAGTGGAGGGATGCAGATACGGCCAATGAGTCAGATGCCTTTTATAATCTCCTGTCTTAGGTGCTAGCTAAAGTGGCCCCTTGGGAGAGAGGCATCCTGTTGGGTGACCTTAATACTCAAGTGGGTCATGACGCAGACATCTGGATTGGAGTGATCGGAAGGCATGGGCCAAATCAGTTCAATAATAATGGTAGGAGGATGCTAGACTTGTATGCAACCCATGGACTTGTAATTACCAACACGCTGTTCCGGCATTGGCGCATCTACAAGAACATCTGCTAAACTATATTGACACATACCAGCGGTTGTGAGTCCATGCCCTTGACACTAGCATCTACCATGGAGCTGATCTGCCCACTGACCATCGACTTATCATCTGTAAGATGTCCCTGCTCTTCTTCCATTCCGGTGGGGGTGTCCATCTGGGAACCCATTAAAACCCACAGTGGCCTGGTCTCAGCGAGCTGATGATAGTTTCAAGCAGGAATTTCAACATCGCTTGGAGCTGGGGTTTGCATTGTTGAGGGGAAATGGGCGAGGTTTAGAACTGTGGCTCATGCAGTTGCAATGGCTGCACTGGTATGTAGTCTGGCTGGCTGATAAATAGCGACAGGCCCACTCCTACCATCTACAGCATCCACATCGAAGAATGAGGAGGCTTACCGCAGCCTTAGCTCGGAGATTCGGAGAGCCATGCGACGCTACAAGGATGAGCAGTGGGCACGGGTTGCTAAAGAGATAGAATTTGCCTGAATCAAAAATCACGATTTAATTCCATCAAAAAAGTAACTTGCAGCACCTCACCTATCAACATTCTAAAGGGAAAGAAAGGTGGTTTGATACTGGACCCTCTGGAACAGGTCTGCAGGTTTGCAGAACATTTCTGTGAGGTCTTGGGGGAGGGGAATTCCCTCAGCCCAGACAACATCATGGGGGGCAAGGTGGGCACGACCCTGCTAGGGCTGCGGTGCCTCAAATATTGGCAGAATTCACCAGCCCTTCTGATTGGTTGGCTGAGGTGCCATCTATTGAGGAAGTACCAAGGGTGATCCAAAGTCTTAGACCAGGATAAGCGCTGGGCAGAGATGATATCCCAAGCAAAATGCTGAGGGAGGGTGGCATCTGTGTGTAGACTGCCCTACATGACATCATCACAACTGTCTGGACCACAGGACGGGTTCCGCAGGATTGGAAGGATGCCCTGGTGGTTGCCCTCTTTGTGAGGGACTGCACAGATTGTAACAACTACAGGGGCATATCTCTTCTCAGTGTGCCAGGAAAGGTCCTGGCAAGGATCATTCAAGATCACCCTGCCAGGCACGCTGAGGAGAGGCTTGCAGGGCTTCGATGTGGTTTCAGACCAGGGCGGTCCTACACGGATGCCATATTCTCTGTCTGCTACAGCAAAGGTGTAGAAAATTCCAACAAGACCTACATCTCTGCTTTATTGACCTGGTCAACACCTATGATACCGGTAACAGGCCAAGACTCTGGGCTCTTCGTGCTTTTGAAATCCCTGACTTTCTGCTCATAATCATTAAGGGTATTCACGATGGTGGGTAGGCCTGGGTAAAGTTACGTGGCCAGGAGACAGAGCCATTCCCTGTTCACCTTGAGGTGCAACAGGGATGTCCTCTGGCTTCCACATTATTTTCCATCATATTTGACCACGTAGTTCGATAAGATTTCCATGGGTGTACAGGAGGAATTTACACCTGGTGCAGATACAATGGGAGGCTGATCGATGCCTGTGTGCAGTCAAGGGATGGCTCCCTATTGGTCAACCATGTTATGTATGCTGATGATCTGGTGATTGCAGCTCACTCAAGAGGAGTTGGAGGCACTGCTGCCGAACCTGGAGTGTGCCACTAAGAGGTATGCTCTTACTATCAGGCCATCAAACACTCCACCCCCTCAACACCCCATTAGTGATGGAGCAGTTGTGGAGAGAGTGGAGAGTTTCCCATACCTGGGCAGTGTGCTGATGACCAGCTCTGGTTTTACAGCAGAGGTCTTACTCCGAATTATCTTTTCATCGGCTGCATAAAATTGTGTGGAAGATACCTGGTCTGTGGCTCCACATGAAGCTTTGGGTCTTCTCGACCACGGTCATGCCCTCGCGTCTCTATGTTTGTGAAACGTGGACCCCTCTAATGGAACATCTGCACTCTTTAGAAACATTTAGGCTGGCCTGCCTATGATGCATCCTGGGTTTAACCAGGCTGGATTGTGTGAGGAGCTCACAAATCCTTGAAAGATCTGGACACATTTCCATCAATGAGCTCCTCCGGCAGGCAAGGCTGCGTTCGCTGGGCATGTGCCCGCATGCCCAACTACCGAATGCACAAGCAGCTTCTGTTTGGCCAGATAGCGGGGCTAAATAGGCACGACACGGGATGGAGTAGAGATAGACTGATGCGGTATGGGGGGATGTAGAGCTGAGTGGACTTGCTGAAGACTGGTACCAGTGGTGTCAAGATTGGCCTTTATGGAGGAAGCTTGTGAAGGATGCTACAGGGCAGTTCGAGGCAGTCGCCCTCCAACAACAACGGAGGGCAGAGAAGCAACACTCACAAAAGCGAGCAGAGCGCTGGGTACAGCTGGTGCATCTGTCAGACATCCCAGTTAGCCAATCCATGGCACCTGGGTCTCTCCTGTGACCTCCTGTCAGCGAGCCTTCAACACTTCACATGGCCTCAAAAGGCACCTGGCCTGGCACAGGTGTCGTGGTGACATCGCCATCACTTAGTGGCGAATGGCTGGTATTGGCGTATTTAACTTCAATCGCACTAAGCATAGCCAACCGTGCGAATCGGAGATGCGGGGGGGAAGGACAACTAACAAAAAGCAGTTCTCAATGTAGTATAGTAGTGTAGTATATAGTAATGTAGTGTGTAGTGCAAGGTGAACTTCTATCACACTGTATATAACCCACCGTGCTAATCAGAGGAAAAAAAAATAACCTAATCAGTACCGAGGCTCTCTACAAGGCTATGAGGGAGGGTTGTGGTGTGGCACAGTTTTTGGCGCCAGCTATCGTAGAGGGGCGGCAGTGGTCATGTTGCTATGGTTCTACTGCCACTACTATGCCTACAATTAACGCTGAACCGCCTGCGATGTTCCGAGATTTGGCGGTGAACCGGACACCACCGCTAACCCTGAACCTGCGACCTGCCAGATGTCTCAGAACGGGAAAGGGGTTAACAGACCACCACCACCACCCGACACAGCTAATTAGAAAGGGTTTGTCACATAAACAAAACATGCCAAATAGTTACTAGTTCAACACTAATCGGTTGTGTGTTGGAGAGTAAACCCACAACATTCATAATTCAAGTACCGTGATGGTGATTACTACAACAACAAGCTTCATCAGGCGATTTGCCAGAATTGTGAAGAAGTCTTTCTGGTACCTGCCTCAAATAGAGCAATGGCGATGTCATCACTGTGAGACTATCGGCTACGAAGATCAGAGGGGGGCTTGATGTAATCATACACATTAGAATGGATTGTGTTAACCTGGAAACATGCGGTACATATTACCGGTTGGGTTCATCACAGTTGTGTTTAGAAAATTGGGCATGTACACACACGTCATCAGAATGGTAAAGGGTTAAACTATATATATAAAATTTAAAAAATGTTTTATTTTACGAGGTCAGACCCACTGAGCTGTGTAGCTCTTTTGTCAGTCGCGACTTGGCCATCACAAATGATAGCTCAACGAAGTGGCTGATATCATCATGGTGTGTATAGCAGCAGCCAAATACTTTAAACACACTTTTATGAATGTGGAGGGTAAAAATCGGAGGCCCTAGATAAAAATCCACGCCACCACAGGGAGAGAGACGTAAACTCCAAATATACAGCAGGCATCAGGATCTGGGATCGAACCCATGAAACCTCCTGCATACCAGGCGAGGTGGTTAACATCTCTTAGCCTACCGTGATACGATACAACAGGCGTCAGGGTCAGGATCAAACCCACATCATCCTGCGTACCAGGTGAGGTAGTTAACATGTCATCAGGGTCGTGATCGAACCCACGACCTCCTGCATACCTGGCGAGGGTCCTTAACATCTCATCAGGGTCGTGATCTAACACATGACTTCCTGTGTATCCGGCGAGGGTTTTTAACATCTCCCCTCAGCCGCCGTGTCCCCTACCATCTCTGTCGTCCTCCAGCACCACCTCGATCTCTGCCACGCCTGACGAGGCATCTCGGTCTCCTCCCCGCGGGCTCACGGAGCGACCGTCACCACCATCACCACCATCGCCACGGTCACCACGGTCACCACGGTCGCCACGGTCACCACCGTCACCACTGTCGCCATCACCGTTAATCAGCTTCTGGAGATCCACCTCCACCACTCTGAGGTGCCTCCTCCGCTCGACCCATGGCTCCTCTCTCTTGACGCGACACTCTCTGGCATCGGCGCACGGGCCCTCCTCCGTGACGTTCCGATCGTTCCCTCTTCCGTCCACACCGACGTAGTCCTCGTCCTCCTCCACCTCCTCTTTGATGCGAACGTCAACACCTTCAACTCAAAGAGGGCGAAAACATTTGGCGACGTCAAGCCGAACGGAGGGAGGCGTAGCTGACGAGCGCACCTCGTCATGGATGTGCCCTGTGACGATTTCGACTCAGAGGCCAGAACACCCGTGACGTTGATTCTGAACGTGGAAGGGGGGGGGGAGAAATAAAACACACACACCGGAGGAACCCAGAGAAAAAAAATCCAAGCAACCACCACGGGGAGAGAGAGAAAGAAGCAAACTCAAAATACACAGTGGCAGGCATCATCAGGGTTGGGATATAGCTCACAACCTCCTGCATACCAGGCAAGGTAGTTATCTAACTCCCTTAGCCACTGTGTGTTAAATTTAGTACGCACTGTACGTAGCCAAGCATGCTTCAGCAGAGATGTGGGGGAAGGACAACAAACTAAACATAAAAATCAGTTCTAAAGAAATAAGTTTTGAATCTATGTGATTGATATTATTGTAGTGTATAGAAGTGAATCGGGTTGCAGTGTATTGTACTGTATATTTGTGTAGTGTATAGTGTACTGGATAGAAGCATAGTGTGTTGTAGTGTAGTGTATAGTATACTGTATAGTAGTGTATAGTAGTGCATAGTGTAGTGTATAGTGGTGTAGTTTGTATGTATATTGAACCTATTTCGCACCATACAAAGCCAGACATGCTAATGAGAAGTGCGGGGGGCAGGGAGGACAACAAACTAAACTCAACAACAAGCAGTTCTAAATAAATGCATTTTCAATTTAGTTTAATGGTGTAGTGTATAGTGGTGTAGTGTATAGTGTCGTGCATAGCAGTGTAATGTGTATTGCAGTATGTAGTGTGTATTATACTCTTATATAAGCGCACAACTTTATCTATGATGAACGCTGCACTTTTCGTCGTTTTAATGCAGGGGGCGCTGCAAACCTACGTGCCCCCTGCATGAACGACGGAGGCGCAGGGACAGACGTTCAATTACGTTGGAATCGATCTGCAGACGGCGGTCTTCTCGCACGGCCAGCTCTGTGTCGCCTTATCTCCATCCCAAAATCCCAACCAGGTGAACGTCCGCATCGAACCAAACCCCCAGCAAGGCCATCTACTTAATGACGAGAGAAATTTCACACGAAATGTACTTTTCAATGAAGTCTTCCAGATGTAAAATTATAAGCTTTTAATTAAGAAATTAAGTATCTAATTAAAAACATAATACCATTCAAAGATGTTTAATTTTAAAACTTCTAAACGGAGCATTGGGTGCTTGCGTGAATGCGTCGTTTGCGTGCAATTTTTTTCATGACTTTCCTGGCCAAAGGCCGTAAATAGTTGTGAGGGGGCACCACAGGCACCCCCGAATAACCCCTAGTAGTGTATAGTAGTGTAGTGTATAGTGCAGTCATGTAGTATATAGTAGTGTAGCAGTGTAGTGTATCGTAGTGCAGCGTATAGTCGTGTTTAGGGTAGTAGTTTCGTGTATAGTAGTGTCGTGTGTAGTAGTGTATAGGGTAGTAGTGGTGTATCATAGTGTAGTGTATAGTAGTGCGTAGTGTATAGTTGGCATAGTAGGGGGCACAGGCGGTGCATCGGCCAGTCATCTAAGTCAGTCAAGCCATGGCACCTGGGTCTGCCCCGTGACCTCCTGCCGGCGGGCGTTCGACACTTCACGTGGCCTTAACGTGCACATGGCCTGGCACAAGCCCTGTGGTGACGTCACCACCACTTAGTGGCGAATGGCGGATGTTGTTGTTGTAGTGTATTGTAGTTTGCTGTCCTTCCCCCGCACCTCTGATTAGCACGGTTGGCTACATACGGTGTGAAAGAATTTGAACATACACACATACAGACACACACACGCTGAAATTTCACAAAGCACATCACGCGTCAACAGAGAGCTCTAGGCCAACGGCAGCCTCTGACGGGGGTGGAGAACTCACCGCCATCGCGAGCTTCGCTCTCCACCTTCACCGGCAGCCACATCTCACTCCTGGGCGTCTCTTCATCTTCTCGCTTGATGACGAACGACTCCACGGGTAGAGACGGGGCAACCTCCTCCTCCACCTCCTCCCCCTCATCGCCTGTCCCAAGGAAGACGCAGCAGAAGGAGAGATTCAGTGGAGACTAGGCTCTAAGAAAAGCCGTCTCGGATGTGGACCAATCAATTTCAAGGACAGTGCATATCATTATCAGAGTTGTCTCTTTTTGTTTGCATTTTGACTGCTTGCGTTGTGGTTATTGCAAACATGATCCCTTGTATAAAGGTGTCAGTTTTGGTGCCAGATAAAAGGGTAAAAACCTATTACTATAAGTTCAACACTAACCAGTTGTTGTTGGAAACTAAACCCACAACATCTACTATTCGTTTGTAGCTCAGCACTAACCAGTTGTTGTTTTGGAGAGTAAACCCACCACAACATCTACCATTTGTTACTAGTTAAGCACTAACCGGTTTTTGGTAGAGTAAACCCACATCTACAATTCATTACTAGTTCAGCACTAACCGGTTGTGTGTTGGACAGTAAACCCACCATAACATCTACCATTTCTTACTAGTTAAGCACTAACTGGTTGTTTTTGGTAGAGTAAACCCACATCTACCATTCCTTACTAGTTCGGCACTAACCGGTTGTGTGTTTGAGAGTAAACCCACTACAGCATCTACAATTCATTACTAGTTCAACACTAACCAATTGTTGTTTTGGGGAGTAAACCCACTACAACATTTACAATTCGAACAGCCATGACGTTTCGCCGGTAATTACAACAACAACCAGCAGCATCATCAGGCAGATAGCTACAGAGTTGTGGAGAAATCCTCCTCCTGTTTCGGTCTTGAATAGAGCAGAGGGGATAAATGTGACGTCGTAACATGTGAGCCAATCAGGTGAGAAGACCAGTAGAGTGGGGGTTAATGTATACATAAAGTATGCAACATCACGTGTGTGTCCATCCTACTACATGTGTGTGTGTCTATCCTACTACGTGTGTGTCCTTCCTACTACACACGTGTGTGCATGTCCATCCTACTATACGTGTGTCCAAATTAGCGGCCAGTTTCCTTTCCATTACCGCCCGCATCACCAGGTCGTCTTCTATATATGCGGAACCCTTTTTCTCACTCCCCACGTTGAGTCACCCCTTTGGCTCCAGCTTAGAGATGCAGCAGCAGCAATGGCAGCAGCAGAAGCCTTTCGCAGCGATACATTTGGAGTTGCCGATATCTCATCTCTGCCACGGGAGAGAGAGAGACAGCTGTGACGACGATGACGACAATCGTGCGATGCGTCAAACTCACGCCAGTCGATGCTGCCGACTCCGACGCACCCCCCCCCACCCAGCGAGAGTTCTGTGGCGAGAAGGAAGCAAAACAAAGAGACACCGCTCACCGGTAGCAGCAGCCCCAGCAGGAGCAGTGGCAGCAGCGGCGGCGATGTCTTCCCATCGCACGTTGGCTCTGAGCGGCATCTTGAGTGCCCGGGGATCTTTTCTGCGGCTTCTCGGCGAACTTCCACGATCCAAAAAGGAGGACGACCCCAGCCTGCGGACGCGAGGAGACGTGGCCACGACTGCGACCCTTCAACGGACGTGCCCCCCGGTACGTTGGCTCGCCTGAGCTAGATCTGTCGGCTTCCCGCTTGGCCGTACGACTTTACATTGTAAGGTCGCGTGCTCATTACGTGCACACACACTCATTATGTGCACACACACGCATTACACACACGCGCAGAGTGCTTGCCACGAATTAAATCGTTACAACTCCCTCGCTGCTGATCTCGAAGTCCGGCTTATTGTCACCTAAAATTCATAGCGGCAACCAAAATACTCCAAACGTGTGGTGACGTTGAGTCTAAATGTGGGAGTGAACCGAAGGACCTGGAGAAAAATACACGCGATCACGGGGAGAGAGAGACAGAGAGAGAGAGACACGCACAATCCAAATATACAGCAAGGCGTCCGGGTTGGGATCGAACCCACGCCCTCCTGTATACCAGGCGAGGTAGTTAACATCTCATCACGGGGAGAAAGACAGAGGGACATGCAAACTCCAAATATACAGCAGGCATCGTCTGGGATCGAACCCACGCACTCCTGTATACCAGGCAAGGTAGTAGACTCACGCACATGGACAGCTTCCACTGGAGGTGCCCCTAGGATAGGCCACACAGCAGCAGCGATCATCGCTACCCCTACTGGCAGTAGACTAACGCACAGGGACAGCTGTCACTGGGGGTGCCCCTAGACTTACATACAGCAGGCGTCGGGATCGAACCCACGGCCTCCTGCATACCAGGCGAGGTAGTTAACATCTCCTAGCCACCGTGGCGCCCCATCTGGTATTGTTTAACTAAGTATATACACAAAAAATTTTTATTTTCAATTGTCTTATTATTTGCAGCATACCGGACATCCCCCATAATAAAGGAGCAGCCACAGGAGCAGCAGCAGCAGGAGGAGCAGGAGCAGCAGCAGCAGGGGAAAGAGCAGCAGCAGCAGGGGAAAGAGCAGCAGCAAGAGCAGCAGCAGGCAGAGTGGCCCCGACCTCGTGAGCTTCACAGCGAGAAGCCCCAACCTGGAGCAGCAGCAACAGCAGGAGGAGGAGCCCGGAGTGCTTCTCCCCGCAGGAGACGGAGCGAGCGGGCAGAGCGATGGAGGTGGAGTGGTGGGGGCTCGGAACGTCGGAACGTGGCGGCGGCTTTGATACCCGGCGATAAACACGACGACGAGACGACGTGCATCCAGCACAAGACGTAGCACTTACAACAACTATTAGTACGCGTGGAGTTAAGTTTTGGTGATGATTGCCTAAGGGCCCGTCCATAAATGACGTCACGCGATTTTGGACGATTTTTTACCCCCCCCCCCCTTCGTCACACGGCGTCACAAAAAGTCAGACCCCCCCTCAAATATGACGTCACAAAGCTTTGCCCACCCCCCCCCCCCCAAATAAAACATGCTTCAAATCGCTTTGAACCATTGTCATTGTAGTGCGTATTTAATGTAGCACTGTACTCTGATGTTGTAGGAGAAAACATGAATTAAAACGTATATTTAAATAAGTAGAACGTGTTGTCTATATTTATTTAAAGTTGCATTTCCCAACCCCCCCCCCCCTCGTCACACATCGTCACAAATGTCTGACCCCCCCCCCCCCCCCAGGCGCGTGACGTCATTTATGGACGGCCCCTAATGCCTGACACTTTGTAACGCTCTGTCATTACAATACACTACTATACACCACTCTACTATACACGACACTATACACTACACTACTATACACTACACTCTACATTAATACACACTACATTACTTATGAAACACTACACTACTATACACGACACTTACATCTTACCTATAAAAGGCATTTTTTGTCTGTCTATCTGTCCGTCTGTCTGTGTACGCGCGCTTGCGCGGGATTCGGCTCTCAAACGGTGGGGTTTACGCTACCAGGCCGTAAGCCCCACGCTGGGCAAACGCTATTCCTTTTTCACGTCCGTCGACTTTAAATGAGTCAAATTAGCGATTTTTCTTTATTTATTTAACTTTGATTCTTTGACTTCCTTTATTTTATTTAATACGCCACTCGGGGCGAGGACAAGGCACGCAGCTGCGCTTGCGCGAAACGCTGGCAGGGTTAGCTCCTGCCAACCCATACACTCGCCATCGCCGGAGGTGTGCGGGGTTTTTAAATCGCCTGCACACTCAACAAGGTAAGTTGCGCACATTATTTTTGGAAGCATTTATAAAATACTTTGCACAGCTGACAGGGGTGGCCCCTAGCAAGGCACACACGATCGGCAAATAATTTCATTCGCGTTAAAATTTCAACCAAAATACACAAAACACTGAGGTTAATTCTTCACAGTGTGATGTCCTCTTCTCCCCCCCCCCCCCACCCCAATGCGTCCAGTTACTACCATAGAGTCCATAGATATTAATATCACAGCGCTTAGATAGTATTATTGTAGCACAGGTGGGGGATGGGGGGGGGGGGTAGCGGCCCAGCCCCCAGCCTGCCAAGGTGCCATCTCGGCCGGCTGGGCAATCTAGGCGAGGCCGGGGGCTCTGCACGGGACTAGTCCTGACCACGCACTCTGTCAGGTGAATACGTTGTGCTATACAGTCAACATATACTGCTATAGAGTTAGCATGTACTACTGTAGTGATAACAGGTACCACCACAGTCAGTATGCACTGCTGTTATCATAGCAGGTACCACCACAGTTAGTATGCACTGCTGTAATCATAGCAATTACCACCACAGTATGCACTGCTGTTATCATAGCAGGTACCACCACAGTCAGTATGCACTACTGTAATCATAGCAGGTACCACCACAGTCAGTATGCACTGCTGTAAATATAGTAGGTACCACAACAGCCAGTATGCCAGTATGCACTGCTCTAATCATAGCAGGGACCACCACAGTCAGTATGCATTGCTGTAGTCTTAGCAGGATACCACCACAGCATTGCTGTAGTCATAGCAGGATACTACCACAGTCAGTATGCACTGCTGTAATCATAGCAAGTACCATCACAGTCAGTATGCACTGCTGTAATAGCAGGTACCACCACAGTATGCACTGTTGTAGTCAAAGCAGGTACCACCACAGTCAGTATGCACTGCTGTTGTTAAAGCAGGTACCACCACAGTCAGTAAGCACTGCTGTCATCATAGCAGGTACCACCACAGTGAGTATGCACTGCTGTCATCATAGCAGGTACCACCACTGTCAGTATGCACGGCTGTAATCATAGCAGGTACCACCACAGACAGTATTGACGGCTGTATTCATAGCAGGTACCACCACAGTATGCACTGCTGTAGTCAAATCAGATTCCATCACAGTATGCACTGCTGTTATCATAGCAGGTACCACCAAAGTCAGTATGCACTGCTGTAATCATAGCAAGTACCACCGCTTTATGCACTGCTGTAATCAAAGCTGATTCCACCACAATCAGTATGCACTGCTGTAAGCATAGAAAGTACCACCACAGGGAAGCGAGTTGGGTGAGGGGCATGCAATCTTGCTGAATCCCTTCACAAATCGACGATAGTAATTGGCTAACCCCAAAAATGAACGGATCTCCATCAGGTTCCTCCACCGTGGCCATTCCACTACGGTGCGTACATTTTCCAGTTCGGTGCGTACCCCTGCCTCGCTGACGTGGTGTCCGAGGTACCCAACCTCGCGCTAAGCAATATGACACTTACGCGGCTTGAGCTTGAGATGGGCTGCTCGTAGTTGTTGGAACACCTCCCGTAACCTGGACCAGTGCTCAGACAGGGGCATACTGAACACTATCACGTCATCCAGGTAAATTAGGCACAGTTCCCATTGCAAGCCCCGCATCACCAACTCCATCAACCGCTGGAATGTCGCAGGCGTGTTAGTGAGTCCGACCGGGAGTACTCGGAACTCGAACAGTCCCATCGGGGTGGTAAATGTGGTCTATGGCCTATCCTCCATCTCCATCTACCAGTACCCAGACACTAGATCGAGGGTGGAGAAATACCACGCTTCCGCGAGGCTGTCAAAGGTGTCATCGATGCGGGGGATGGAGAAGGCGTCACCGAGGGTAACTGCATTCAGCTTTCGATAATCAACGAAAATCGGGCCGACCCGTCCTTCTTTGTCACCAGCACAACCGGGGCAGACCAGGGGCTCGCTGAGGGCTGGATTATGTTATCGCGGAGCATATCCACGGCCGTCTCTTTAATCTGGGCCCGTTTGGGTGCGCCCACTCGGGAGTTTAATGGGTCGGGCAGCACTTGTGTCAATTTGGTGCTTAACGAGGTCTGGCCCACATCTGAATCGTGCTCACCAAACACGTCGGCATACTCCCGCAATAGCCCTCATAGCTTTCAAAAAGAAATGGAGGCAGCATGAATATGCACGCGTACCCCCCGGGTGGTTAAACCCTAATCCACTGCACACCAAGGCTAACGTTAAAGGGCTGCGCGAAACTGCGCACGCGCCTCGCCGTTAATGCTATTGTCGCTGTGTAAACGCGTGCGAGCGCTGGCGATCGTGTATGTTTTAATACACGCGCGGCTCACACACACGCTCAAATTCCCAACACCGCATCAGCGCTGCAGCCCCGTGTTCGCTCTCTCGCGCACACTGTCTCCACATGCAGTCACACCACACACAAATCGCAGACACCACGCCGATGTTCTACATACACACACATAAATCACACTGCACCGATACTCTCAACTAAAGTTTATTAACGGTGCAAATACACCCTACCTGGAGGAGGAATATTTCGCGAGAAGAGCCTAGTCTAACTCTGCCTATGAACCCAGTTACACAAACGTCCTACCACGTACCTCGAAGCTGGACTCGCGGTGTCTCACGGAGGCTGAGCGAGTCGGAGGGAGAAGGACGAGAGAAGACTTGACCTATCACTGTCTCGCAGCAGCACTCGCTGGCATCACACGGATGCTGTGAGCGGCTCGAAGAGGCAGGACGGCAGGGAGTGGGTGTTGACGGCCCGGAGGTTGTAGACGTACTCAGCTAATCGTCCCGGGGCTCCTACCTTTATTCTCTAAACAACAAAGGCCCAGGAGGACGTCGCGCCGTGCGGCCAATCCTGTGCTTACCTGTGGTTACCCCCCCCCGCCCCTGTTACCGGCGGGCGGGGCGGCCACCCATTGTCCCTTGCTCAGGGTTCCTTCATCCTCTCCCTCGTGTTATACCTCATTGCGGCTGGCCCAGGGAACCTTTTATTTTGGCGCCCATACAATTTTAAACCAATTTTTGGAGCATCGCAATGTAACCTGCTCTGCGAGGGTTGGCCAATCTCCTGGCACCGGAAACCGTGGGACTTTCCCTCTAAGGGTCCTTCGGATTAAAACCCAAGGTGCCAGGTAATCCCCCGCCAGGGCACTACGTGGGTGCGCTGCGTGCGGGTGTGTGTTTAGTGCAGGGGCCGGGAGGGAATTGCGGCGCTGGCGGAGTTGCTCCTAAGATCGTGGCACCACACCTGCTTCGTTTCGCTCACTTTGCTCACTCCGCTCTCTCTCTCTCCCAGCCTCTCCACCTCTAGCCTGTTATCTCTCACTCCCCTAGCCTCTCCGCTGCTAGCCTGCTCTCTCTCTCTCTCTCTCCTAGCCTCTCCGCTGCTAGCCTGCATCTCCGCTGCTAGCCTGCTCTCTTTCACTTTGCTAGCCTCTCCGCTGCTAGCCCGTCTCTCTCATTCTGTTAGCCTCTCCGCTGCTAGCCTGCTTTCTCTCTCACTCTGTTGGTCTCTCCGCTGCTAGCCTGTCTGCCATGCTCCGCTGGCTTCGCTCCCTACGCTCTCTCTTACTCTGCTAGCCTCTCCACTGTTAGCCTATTACTATACACTCTGCTAGCTGCTCCACTGCTAGCCTCTCGCTACATACTCTGCTCGCTTCTCTGCTGCTAGCCTCTCGCTATACACTCTGCTAGCTTCTCTACTGCTAGTCTTCCCGCACTCACACTTAGGATTCCGCTAGCTTCTCTACTGCTCATCTTTCTACCCTCGCCTCTCCAACC